AGACCGACGACCCCCAGGACAGTCACCCGCTTCACAGATTGCGAGCAAGTCTTACTTATATGACACGTACTTGGCTCCCGAGACGCATGTCGAAGCACCTCTACCGGGGTCCAGGGGGTTTGACCATTCCTCGTTAATCCTGAACACCTTGAAAGCCGCCCTAGGGGAATTCGCAAAGCGCAACCAAAGGCGGAAAGTGGAAAGCCTTAGTCTAGAAATTGCCGAAGAATACGTGCGGATTGGCTCGTGGTCTGATGGCTTGAACCTTCTGCGGCCGCTGTGGCCGACTCTCAGCTGGCGAGGTTCTGGCTGGTGGCCGCTTATGGAAAGGCTCGGATTGGCTTTGAAGGAATGTGCCTTGCAAATGGGAGATAGTGAAATGGTTGTTCGAGTTGACTGGGAGCTACTTAGCAAAGGTAAGAAATCACGCGTTCCAAGGAACTCTATTCCGATCTTCTGATACAGGTGTGCTTTTAGCTTTTCACCATCGGCCATCCTGGCATTACGATATCCATAATAGTCTTGAAGAAATCACAGATAAACCAAAACCTTCTGTTGTTCTACGAGCCGAGGACGTCCTGTCTAGTAGTAAGTGATGTTATAAGATCCCTCACAGAACTCAAATACTGATATCCTTTCCCTCCTTCTTGCAGTAACTGCGTGCTTGGTATTCGAAAAGAGCGATGGGAATGTTGGCGAGCCTCTACAAGCCCAGCTTGTTATATCCTCATTTGCTCATCCGTCCGCTGCTCCTATAAGACTTTCAGACGTCAAGATAGGATTTGAAGGCTGTCTTCGTCCAATCAAAGTCCAGTCAGATAACAATGCTGAATCTGATATTACAACCCCGTGCACTATAGAGTCAATCTCTCTTCGGGAGGTTAGCGTGTCAACTGATTTCTCCGCTGCCCAGTCTCCCAACAGCGGCCCAGCAACACTGAAGGGGATTGCCGACTTGACCATTGGACCTTCACAAACCAAAGTCGTCAATTTGACATGCATTCCTCGGGAGGCTGGCGAGGCCAGGGTGGCTTCAATTACGATGTCTATCGAGGAAGAAAAGTTTGACCTCTCATATTTTATTACAGATCAGAGCAAACGTGAATTCTTCTGGTGGCAGCAAACCCCCAAGGGAGTATCAAAACGAAGAGTAGGAAAGGGTCGGGAGGTTAATCGATGCAGGATCAAGCGCAAGCCGCCCAAGATACGGATTACGACACCTAACCTGAGGGATACCTACTATACAAACGAACGAATAGTCTTGACCATCGGCATCCACAACGACGAAGAAGAAGAAGCCGATGTGTTAGCCGAGACAAGGTTATTCGGCCGCCCAGAGTCTTTGGCTAGGCTACAATGGGCCGACGGAGAAAACAACCCAGGCGAGCAGGACACAGATGACAGCTCTACTGTCAGCGAGGAAGACCGCCACTTCATCAAGAGACCAGTTGGTGTCATGGAGCGTTCATCTAAAAAAGAGTTGTCGATAGTACTGACAGACACTAATGATGCCTCGGACTATCAGCTGGAGATATCAGCCGTATATCACATTGTGTCCGATGTCCAGACTCCCATCATTAAAACAGAGACTGTGGGATTGTCTATTATCAGGCCTTTTGAGGCGAACTATGAATTTCTTCCGCGCCTTCATCCTGAACCATGGCCTGACTTTTTCCATGTTGATGATGAATTGCTCGATAATGGGCCCATATTGAAGCCTCGGGGTCTACACCAGAAATGGTGCCTTGATGCCAAGATTGTCTCCTTTGCTTTGGAGTCTCTGGTCATCGACAAGGTGTCTGTGGTGTTGCTTAGTGCAGGCGGCGGGACCACCTGCAATATCGGCTCTGAGATCATAACTGGCCCAGAGAAGACACCGGAGTTATCTCCCGAGGAACTTCGAGAATCTCAGTTCATTTTAGACGTGCAAAAAGTCATTTTGGGCGATCGACGACCGACAGCGCTCAATCTCGCATTGGAGATACACTGGCGCAGGAGAGATTTTGCAGGCGGTGTCGACAAAGCTACCACCGTCTCTACCCTAGATATTCCTCGTTTTGTTGCACCGGCGGGTGAGCCGCGAGTGCTGGCTTCAGCAATCGCATCTAACATTCTGTCCGGGCTGATTCACATGGACTACATACTGGAAAATCCGTCGACTCACTTCCTCACGTTCAACCTGACCATGGAAGCCAGCGAACAATTCGCATTCAGCGGTCCGAAGACGACCGTGGTTCAACTGTCGCCGCTGAGCAGACACACAGTACGGTACAACCTGCTGGCGGTTCAACGGGGATTATGGACCCAGCCACAGCTGGTTGTGCTAGATACTTATTTTAATAAGATACTGCGGGTTCTTCCCACGGATGAAATGAGGTCGGACAAGAAAGGGATCCTGGTGTGGGTGGATGCGGATGACTAGAAGATCATGTGTGTGTTTAGTATGTCGGTGGCTTCTATATAATACTGTAAGAAAACTATGAAACAGGGTCTATCATAGCTCTAGGGCTCGGTATGGACAATAAACTTGATTAAATAACAATAACTATGAAACATTTGAGGGCATATCACGTGTAGCCCTTATCAGCCTAAAATAGACTAGTGGCGGGTGATCATTCATTGATTTCGATTCCACCGGGCGGAGAAGCCGTAGCAGCACCTCACCTCTGAGTACTACAGTACTGCTGGGACTTGCTTGGCCCATTCAACCACTCCGTATACGCTGTGATTAAGTACTCGTGGTGGACGGCATTGCTTTAGTTACACCTGAGTGCTATTCATTGAATTTCCTCGCATTTCTTTTTCTTCAGTTGTCTCATCAGCCGGCGCTGGTTAAACGCCGAAACCATGGCGGCACAAGCAGCTTTGATCGCAGACACCATCATGGGCATGAAACGGGCCCTGCGCAAAGAGCAAGATTGTGAGTGGAGCCTATTCTTTTAATTTCGTCTCTTAAATATATTCAATTTGTACCATTGCAATACCGCGATTGATTGCTGACAGCTTTTTCTTCCCTGCGCAGTTTCCGGACCGGACGATTCTATCACGCAACCGACGAATCGGGGTAATAAGCTAAAGGCGAATGCGCAATATGTGCGTGAAGGCGCATTGGGATACATCAATTCCGAAGACCTTTATAAGCAGGTATATTGGCTTTCTCTCCCTTCTCTTGATCATACCGTCCGCAAATTTGGCCCGGTTCCCGAAAAGTGCACAAATCTAAAATCAAACGAAGGAAAGACAATTGCTGATGGTCTTTTTCTGATGAACAGAAGATTGAGCATGCGGGCTATACACGCTACATCCTTCAACCAAACCCGGTGCGCTACGATTCAGAAGGCGATGAGCTCGATGAGGATGACGAAGATTCTGAAGCAGATGCAGCAGCGGCAGAGGAGAACCCATTTTCCGAAATTGCGCTTGAACGTAAGCAAAAGAGATATCTCACCAATATCATTATGAATAGTGTATAGCGGTGCTGACAGGTGTATTTCATCACAGATCTCTTGTGTCCCATCAAGCATCCCTCAGAACTCCCTACCCACCCCTCAATGTCCCACGTGTACAAATCCAAAGCACTCCGGAACATGACGCAGGCGATTGAAGATAAATTACGTCAAGAACGCGCCCTGCTGTGGCGGGCAAGAAACCTCTACCGAGAATTTTTAGGCGACTGCTCCTGGATGCCCTGCGGAACGGTTGAGACATCCGAAGACAGATGGATTTTCGAGCCTCGCATTATGAACACGGAGCTCAATACGAGCGGAACAGCTTCTTCTGCTGGTGGAAGCTCCGACGCCCAGAAGAACGGAGCGCAGGAGTCGCTCTCGGGCGCGATATCTCAGGAGGGCTCTGAGACGGTCCAGGGAGAGGAGGACCGGCTATCACAACCAGCCGAAAAGGAAGTTAAGATGACGGATACCGAGAATAATGAGAAGAAGCCAGACGAAAATAATGCTGAACAGACCAAAAAACCTAAATCGGAAGAGATTGACACAACGGTTGGAGACGTCTCCCAGCATCCGGGCACAGTACAACTGGATGGAACCCATATCACAAATAATGCACAACCCAATCAGAACCAGCCTCCTGGATTGGAGGAAGCATCATCCAGCAATGGAAAACCTAAATTGAATGATGCGGATGACATGGATGCGCGAAGTGATACCCAAGAAGCAGAAGATGCAGAGATGCAGGATGGGTCACATGTACCATATCGTCGGATAGCAACTAGGGCATGGGCCAACACATCGAACACTCAGCAAGAAGACGGATTCAGTTATCGTTCCTTTACTCCGTCCAATGATCCGTTCACCAGTCTTCCGACACCGCATCCTCTCTTCCTTGTTCCAGATTCTACCCGCCCGGATCCCAATTACGGACTCCCACCGAACGAAGCAGAGGATACTCGGCGACTCTTGTGGTCGTACATTCAAAAGCAGGAAGAAACAGTCCGAGGGTTTGAACACATGCATGAATCTCTACTTCGCGCGTGTCGGATGAAGGAAGATGTACTAGAATGGTGCAAGGCGGAGGGCCATGTTGGCGAGATGAGCGACGGCGAGGACTGGTACGATCACGAGAAGTGGGGTCTGGCAGAAGGAGAGGATCTCAAGAAGGGAGCCGACGAAGATGAGATCGAAGCAGTGGATGAAAGTCGGGCTACGGGCAAAAGAGGACGAGGTCGAAGGGCATGATGCAACGTCTTTAGCGCCATTCATCTTTGCACAAGGTCTTCACCCTTCTTCTCTCTTGTCTTCTCCTCTTTCCCCCTTAATCATTGTTCAAATCGTCCATAGCATGGAGTTGGTGGTGTTCTGGTTACTTTTCTCCTCCCAAGATTGGGTCACTATTTCGCACGATTCGCACCATGTCATTTTGTTTCTATCTTTTCGGGTGCCATATTTTATTGGCATGTCATGTCATGTACAATTTGCAACGTCCATTGGAGGACACTTTAGCGCTATCCCGTACACAGGGGTGTTACTTTTCCGAGCGGGGGGGGGGGGAATGTGGCTATTTCAACAAAGAGGAATATATACAAAACACAGGATGTCTTCTCAAATTTTCTTTTTGTCTATATTCAAACAGCGTTCCAGGGAGGTGAATCATTCTACCAATCCCGGGAATTTTTGATCGATCGTTGAGGATTAATAGTATCTCAGTGGTATTGTACTCATGGACCCGTAAGCAGTTCGTCAAAACGTCTAGTGATTGACGCTTCTTGTCATGAAAATGCAAAGGTTGTGGATTGTTGAAGTCCTTATCTAACCTTGCAATAAGTCTCGGTATTTCAGCACATGGTGCTGGTCTTATGTCTCACAGGCCAGGCCGGTTGCCATTTACTGGCTCTTGCCGGCCTGCTTCGCACGTTCACGGTCGCGCTTGGCGTAGATCTCGCCAGTGAAAGGACTACAACGGTATAAAGTCAGTGGGTTTGACACACTACGTCCTTCAACGATGGGCGCGAATCGATCTCGGTGATGGTGGTTGCACGGGCAGATCGGATGGAAGTTGCGTCGGGTGAACAAAAGCAAGAGAAAAAGGACAGGACACTTACTCTTCCCACTGGAGAGCAAACCAATACAAGATGAAGACCTCGGCCGTCAATGCGACTCCAGCCACCTTGCCGTGGTAAAGAGCGACTCCCAGGAAGTTCAAGGTGCTTCCCCAGTACATGGGGGAGCCGGTGATGCTGAACGGAAAGCCAGTGACGGGGGCATCCATCAGAATTCCGAAGTAGTCTCCGAGGTAGGTGCCGGTGACGCCAAGAGCATACATGCTGGACAAAACGAGAACGGAGCCAAAGCCAAAGAGGACAGCTCCCAGGATCGGTTGGTGCACAGGGGCGTAGTAAGGCTGGTCAGCCAGAGCCAATTGGTAGAGGTGGTCACGCAGAATGCCTAAAGAAAAGATGGCGAATGCGAGGAAGTAGCATCCATAATAGGGGCTACCGAATATACGAGTCAAGAAGTGATTCCGGTACTCTACAAGATGAAACGATCAAGATTGTATGAGCAATTATTGAAGATTGACGAGAATGGCAGGTTGTTTCTCTTCAATGCCTGCACATAGTGTAAACACGGGAAAAGGTGGAGTAACCAACCAGCACGAGCAACAATGCTAAGGGACCAGAGTCAGCCATTGAAGTTCACAGGCTTGCCATGTAGATATCTGAGTATTTATTGAGCAAATACAAAGGCCCGACTTACTTCCAAAAGATAGGATTGAAGGCAATGGACAGCGCAGTCACTGCATATAGCCATCGTAGTTAGAATCACATGTGAATCTCACCGGAAATTATGTCAAACATACCCTGAAGGGACAACTGAGAGAAGTCCACGAAATCCGTCAGAGTAGCCATAGTTTTCGACTAGAGAAAACGAGTGAGAGAGTAGAAAAGACGACGTAGAAGAGTTGAAGGAAGAGAAGATGGAAGAAGAGAGGAAGAGGACAAGAGAGGGACAAGAGAGGGAAATGAGGAGAAGGCGGCGGAATACAATACTTCCGTAATTTACTGTCACGGGCTGTACTGCCGGCACATGACGTCGCTGTCCCGTGACCCCGAACTTGACATCTCGAAAACAACTAAAGCATTTCCCAACAGTCAACACACTCTCGTTCATTCCTATTTCCTGCATGGTCAATAGCTTTGTCTAACCTGCCAACCTCTACTGGATTTCAAATCCTACCAATAAAACAGCCATATCCCATCCAACGCATACCTTGGGAGCTGTCAAAGTCCCTCACCGCCGATGTTGGTTTACTGTTATCCGCAATAGAACAATTGATAAGCCGTCGCTGCTCCAAAATGGTTTGCATTGCTTCGCATCTGCTCATTGTCACTGCTTGACCGGCATGGGACGTCAGTCACTCGTTCACTTCCGGGGACAATGGCCCGCAGTCGCAACCTTGTTGTTCTGGGGGGACTCGGAGGATTCATCGCATGGGGTTTGGTGGTTCAATGGTTCCCAGTGCTGCGATACCTTGGCTATGCGGTCGTTCTAGGCGCTATAGCCTCTTTTACTTCGCTGCTGGGTCTTATGTTTCTGACAACACGGACACGGGATACCGCTAGATTTAGCGCGAAGACTGCCTCTCTGGAATTCATCACTCCCAAGCACTGGCACAAAGAAATCCACGCAATTCGCCAATGCTCCACCTATAATCCCAAGCCCATCTACCCTCAATCATTTGTCGTGTCGGAAGCAGTTGATCAGACTCTGACACTCATTACTCGCGATTTTATCTCGTCATGGTACCAAAACATCAGCCCGAGCCCGGCGTTTATCAACGAGGTGGACCGAATGATTCGGGTTGCGATTGGGAATCTTCATAATCGTCTGCTGACAGAGGATTTGGTGTCGCTAATTGTGTCGCGCATATTTCCCATCTTCACCACCCATCTCAGAGAATTTGATATCGCGGAGCGGTCAGTCCGGGGACGGAATTTGACACGGAATGTGACCGAGTCAGAAGAGTTGGATCTTGCTATTGCGAGCAAATACTGTGAGGGACGTCTTCACCCGGCGGTTTCGCTGTCCCTCTCCGACCAAAAGCTGGCAGAACAGGAATACTTGCGGAAAATCTCCGTTGGGTTACTCCCACAGTTATTCTCAAAGAATACGCTCAACAGCCGCGTTGTTGCTGTGTTAATCCGGGAGATCTTCGCCTGTGCCGTCCTCTTCCCAGTTGTATCTACACTCTCGGATCCAGATACGTGGAATCAATTGATGGAGGCATATGGACGGACAGCCCTCCATGATCGCAAAACTGTGCGAAAACTTCGGGCTGCTTTAGATGAACATGCGTCTCCCATGCCCCATTCAAAACATGGACGTTCATTTCCCAAGCTCTCACCGCATGATTCGGAACGTGCCTTTGAGCGCTTTGTCAGGGCAATTCGGAGATGTAATAACCTTTCGGATGCCCGGCGATTCAGAGCGCTTGTTGCCAGCCAGTTGAAGCGAGAAAGCATGGTGGAAGGACAAGACCAGGTTTATCTTCGTCGTTTGGAAACGAGCAAGAGAGTCCTGGATCAGAAGGTGCTCAAACTCTCAGCTCCCGGAGGTTGTAGATTTCCACATGCCACAGCAAATGCATCACATTTGCGCCGCAATAGCGCACCGGCATCTCATGAGATGTCTTTAGCGGACGTAATGCGCGACCCTTCTGGTCTTTCTTACTTTATGGAGTTCATGGACCGTCAAAAGCTCATGTCATTAGTGCAGTTCTGGATCGTGGTTGACGGGTTTCGCAATCCACTTGAAGATGACTTTGGAGACGAAACATCCCCTAGTTCAACGACATGGAACGCAGCCGATAAGAATGATATGGCACTAATCAGCGAAACGTACTTGACAAAACCTGAGATCAAAGTCGCAGACGGATCTCGCCGAATGGTGAAAGCTTTTCTGAGTGCGGGAAAACGGGCGACTTCAGACCAGTACCACCAGGCGCGGACTGTGATCTTGACCTCGCAATCTGCGGTCTTGGAGGAAATGGAGAATGTCCATTACCCTAGATTTAAACAGTCGGATCTGTACTACAAGTACCTTGCGTCGGATCAAGGCTTGAATCAGGGAGGATTAGCCGCTCACCAGCCTAGCCCTACAGCCAGTCTCGAGGCGCCTGAAAGACGGATCTTGCCTCCTTTGACTGGCCGTACGATGTCTCAGACAGGAGCCAAATCGAAGGATCTGCGTCGGGCTGCCGTTTCATCAACCGATGTCCGGAGTACAGGAAAGCTCTTCGATGATGATGTATCACCCCGGAATTCTTTGGATTCTGAACGTTCCGCCCCTTTATTCGACGATGAATATGACACCGAACCTCTCGCTATATCTACACACAGCCTCGGCAAAGACTCGCAGAATGGAGAACACGAAAAAAGTCAAAGCCAAGTGATCGAGACGATGGAGGCGGCATTGATCGATATTATTACCGATGAACCACCCAAGAATGCTAAATCAGAAAACCATGATGATAACCATGATGACTTGGTCCCACCTGAGTTATATAGCAACGGCAGGAATCCTACTAAGTCATCGCGTAGCTCTGTGGAATTGCCACGGGAAGAAATCAGAACAGATGAGAAAACAAAACCTAGTATTGCTTCACTAGGGCTTGTCGATGAATCCCCACGACGGGGTGTTTTCGATGATGACCTATTTCCGGACCAGCAGAAGTTCATCGAGGATGAATACGAAGAGCCAGCTGGAACGGAAGGCAAAGACCCTGCTGATGAAGTCCATGAAGCAGCCCCTGGAGACCTTGGTTTGACAGAAGCAATTGAGGCGCTCACCACCGAGATCGAAAAGCTGGGCTCTCAGGAATCGGTTGTGGATGCGCTAACTCGGAAAGCTGAGCTAACCAACAACACGGCTGAACTGCGGATCTTGCGCAAGTCCAAGGCTAGCATCCAGCGGGAAGGTCATCGGAAAGAGATGCAGCGCCAACAATATATCATCCAAGAGAGCGACAACAGCTTATATGGCCGGTCGACTGTTCAAATTAAATCCATCGTGGTGGGTAAGGAACCAGATGGACGAGAGTATGCTCTATGTATGTAACATGCCGATATCTCTCCGTGGAACGACTTAACTAACGTTTTTGACAGATGTGGTTGAAGTCCAGAGAAATGCAGGGGAGCAGATGCCAGCGGCATCCTGGGCTATAGCCCGTCGTTACAGCGAATTCCACGAGCTACATCACAAGTTACGCACAAGATACCCATCAGTCCGTCACTTAGAATTTCCGCGTCGCCGTATGGTGATGAAATTGCAAAAGGATTTTTTGCAAAAGCGACGAATGGCGTTGGAGAGTTACCTCCAAAAGCTATTGCTATTGCCGGAAGTGTGTCGAAGTCGTGACCTACGTGCTTTTCTCTCTCAACGGGCCATCATTCCACGCGATGAGATTCGTCCTCGCGATGACGAGACCAAGGATCTGGTTACCCGGATCTATAACTCGGTGACGGATGGCATGGACGATTTCTTAGCCAATTTTGGTGTGTTAGACCAGCTCTCTACGGCTGGGCAGAACCTCATCTCCGCCGCGACGACCAGCTACCAGGCTGGCGCTTCTTCACCAGGGGCGAACCTTGTCAATGCAGAGGATTCTGTAACTGCTGCCGAAGCAGAGGCGGAGCTCAATGCATTTGAAGACCGGGAACTAGAACCGTTTATCAAGCCGATATGCGACCTCTTCCTGGAAGCCTTTGATCTGAATAAGGGCAACAACTGGCTTCGTGGCCGCGCCGTGGTCGTAGTCCTCCATCAGCTCCTGGGTGGGACTATCGAGCGCAAAGTGCGCGAAGGAGCCCGCTCACTCGTTCAAGATGAGTCGTTGCTCCGATACATCCATCTCGCACGAGACACGATGTGGCCGAATGGCGTACTGCGACATAATACCGTGCGGACGCCGTCTCAGCAATCCAAGAGTCGCACTGAAGCGAGCGTGGTGCTGGCGACGCTAGTGCCAGATCTCGCAGGAAATGTTGTTGGACGAGCAAATGCGCAAGGCGCGGCAAGGAGAATATTTGCTATGTTGAATAACCAACGGCTCAATACGCATCTCGTCTTTACTATCTTGGATGAACTGGTGTTGGTGTTATTCGGGGGAGTGGTTCCGGGGTGGTCATGAATTTTCTGTTACTATTTATAACCTTATCCTTTCGGTGTTTGTCTTGGATGATAAATATGACCGTATATGAGAACTACGAAGATTGCGATGATATCACAAAAATGACTTATTCAAATAACTATAGATACTATTCCAAACTCAAATATGGCAGAGAGCACCGGGGACAAAACTAAATGAAAGACATAACAGAAACCTTTCTTTGAGACATTATTATGGAGGGATGATCAGCATTATGCCTCTTCCTTTGCCTTTTTGCCCTTCTTGCGCGACTGTTGTACTGGGCCATGATGCTTTTGGTGGACGACTAGACGTGTCCAGCACTCCTTCTTGTTCCACTCAAAGCCAGCAAGGTAGGGAGCATCCATTTCATCATCAGACTAAGCAGAAGAAATCAGCATTGTCAAAAACAGTAGGGACACGGTGGATGATACCTTTTTCTTGAACTGCTTGTAGATGGCGTCCAGCGCGTCCTTGATGGTGACACCTTTACTGTTGCGAGCAGCTACTTCCAAGCCTAGTGGGAAGTGCAGGTCAATCTTCCTGACGGGAGGGTTGACGAGGTACAGTTTAAGTATGTCTTTGTCCTCGATGCTGTTTGGCGAGGTATTGAGTTTCCTGAAAGGGTATCAATGGATATCACAGCAATGAAAAGCATTGATCGAAAAGATGGATACACTTACCACCCAGTTTTCTGCGTCTCGATTGGAAGTACCAGTTCGATCTGTTGGGCCTCTGCGAACATCGATGGTTTAGTTCGTTTCTCTGGATTGAGTGGATTGAGAGACCGTACCCAAGTCTTTGATGTTAAAGACACCCTCTGCTACCGACGACCTTCGCCTTTGCTCGATCTTCGTAATGGGAGGTTTCTCATCCTGGGGGGATGTACCCAGGCCTGCGACAGCTGAATCAACTCTGGTGAGTTCAGGCTGTTCAGTAGACATGGTGACGACGGTAATGAACTAGGCTATGGTAGGAGTTAGCTATAGTGTTCAAGTAGGTTGGTCTCAAAGGTAGTAGAGCCTTACCTGATAGCTGAGTATAGGTTAAGCAACAATGATGTAAAGGAGAGGAATCAAAGAGGGAGAGGGGAAAGACAGGCGAGAAGAATAATTAGGGAGAGAAGAGGAGACAGCAGAGAAAGGAGGAGAAGAGCAGGTGACCCCGAACCAGACCCGGCGATACTACCGGGGATATACAATGTCGAGTGCTACACGTACGCTCTAGGGCTATGGCTGGATCGAATCGGATCAAGCAAGACTGTATCTTGATCATGACGAGGTCCTCGTCTTCCGATTCCTCATTGACAGAATACCACACCACATACAGGGGGTACGCTGCACAATGTCATATTGTACAATATCCCGTATAGTGAGTACTTGTATAAAAACAGTACTTTGCGACGGATCATCGGAAGATCACCTGACGTGGAGAGTGAGAGCTTGGTTGTGCACCCCCGCATTTCCCGTTTTGGGACAGTTGATTCAAGGTATACAACACTCGACGTGATATGTTTCTCTGGTAGCTCAAACTTACAGTGCTCTCACATGAGCTTTTCTCCTCTTTTAGAATGCGTCATTACCAACATCCGGGTGAATTGACATTGGATATGCACACGCAATTTAAAGTAGACTATGCCAGAACATGGATGTTGATGGTATGACATTGGACGACGGAATGGCGGAACTCTGATACGAGTGGCGAATGCAGCATGATGCATTTCCCAATAGGATTGAATGTAGAGCCATGGACTCGATCAGGCCATTGTCATTCCACAGTAATCATAGTTAAGATCATGACGATGCTGTATTGTAGTTATACTTGGACCCGTTTAGGGTTGTTTGCTTATTTTGCTTATTCTGTCTAGTTTGATTGATTTGTTGTAATTGCATTGTTTACATCATTTGTTTCCTTTTGCCCCGGGCTGCAGACTAACCGCATTAGGACGAAGAGCTCTTCCACTTCCACCGCGTCGCTTCGTTTTGATTTTGAAGACCTTCTCTTCATTTCTCATTCGTCGTTTCTTCTTTAGTTGTGCTTTTTTGATACCCCCTTATCTTTCTATTCGTTTGTGTTTCCAGTCCTGATTTGATTTTGTATTAAAAAAAAGACAAAAGGAGGACCAAAAAAGCAAGAGAAAAGGGTCACAAAATGTCGCTCTTCGGTTCCGTCGGCGCTACGGCGACATCAGCAGCTCAGACCAACACCACCGGCGACATCTCTAAGGATGTCGCGCTCAACTCTCCTCCCGAGGACAGTATATCCGATCTTCGATTCTCCCCCGCCAGCGAACACCTTGCCGTCGCGTCCTGGGACAAGAAGGTCCGCATCTATGAGATCAACGAGCAGGGACAAAGTGAAGGAAAGGCGCTTTTTGAGCATGAAGCTCCCGTCTTGAGCTGTTGCTGGTCTCCGGTAGGTTGCAAATTGCGGAACTTTCAGCGGGTTTGATTTGGTTGACTTGTCGGTGTACGCAGGATGGGACTAAAGTCGTCGGGGCTGGTGCCGATAAAGCTGCCCGGATGCTCGACCTTGCTGCCGGCGCTACGACTCCCGTGCAGGTCGCTGCTCACGATGCTCCGATTCGATGCTGTGATATGATTCCAAACCCCGCAGGAAACTCCCCCCTTCTCATCACGGGTTCGTGGGATAAAACAGTCAAATACTGGGACCTGCGGCAGTCCACCCCCATCGCCTCGCTCGAGTGTCAGGAGCGAGTGTACACCATGGATGTGAAGAATAAACTCCTCGTTATCGGTACAGCGGACCGGTACATCAACATTGTCAACCTCGATAGCCCCACCAAATTCTACAAAACCATGCAGTCTCCCCTCAAGTGGCAGACGCGGACAGTCAACTGTTTCATTGATTCCACTGGGTTTGCCGTTGGTAGCATCGAGGGTCGCTGTGCCATCCAGTATGTCGAGGAGAAGGACTCGAGCTCCAATTTCAGCTTCAAATGCCACCGTGAGACCCCGCCCAACCAACGCGACATCAACAACATCTATTCCCTCAACTCTATCACCTTCCATCCTGTTCACGGTACCTTTAGCACCGCCGGTAGTGACGGTACCTTCCACTTCTGGGACAAGGATGCCAAACATCGTCTGAAGGGGTATCCGTCCGTCGGGGGAACAATTTCTAGCACCGCTTTCAACCGCACTGGAAATATCTTTGCATACGCTGTCAGCTACGATTGGAGTAAGGGTTACTCTGCCAACACCCAACAATTGCCCAACAAGGTGATGCTTCATCCTGTTGCGCCAGAAGAAGTGAAGCCTCGAGCGGGAGCGAGAAAGAGGTGATTGAGTGATAGATGGATTGGTTTATGGTATGAATAGTTTTATTTCATGTTATCTTTTATTATGTTTGGGAATGCATACAACGAGCGAAATCAGTATAGGCAATTTGCCTTTTTCATTTTAATTGCTTCTTCCAATGGAAAAACACATTTGTTTGCCAGGAGTCCTACGTTACGGGTGTCGGAAGATAATGGACAGGAGAGAATTCTGGCATGGAAGCACCCTCCTTGAGGCTGAATAATGAATGTACTTGGGGGCGGCTTTTGGTTAGCATTAGTGTAGTAATAGTTCTTAGCTAGGGCTAGAGTAGGGATAAAATTCAATATAAAATCACATTTTATTTTATTTTCGTTCGTCTACATCATTCATATATTTCATGCTATGATTCGTCTCCCAAGTACAGTTTAAATGAACCCACAGAAAAAGTAAAATTCAACCCCGGAAAAAGAAATAACGAAAGAAAAAAAAGCGAATAGAATGGCTATGATGTCGGGATCGTAACTTGCGATACACCATCGGTGACCTTCTCAACAGCCTCGTCATTTTTGCCCTCAGTGGTAGCAGTAGTTGCCTCTGCACCTCCCTTGGCAGAAGCCTCGACACCACCCGCAGGAGCATCAGCAGGCTTGCCAGCCTTCTTCTCCTTCTTCTTGGCCTTGCTAGCAGCCTTCTTCGCGGCGGCCTTGGCGGCGTCTTCCTCCTTTTTCTGACGCTCGGTCTGCGAACCGCCGAATTTCTCTCGCCACTCGTCGGCCTTCTTCGAGTCAATGCGCGAGAACAGGTACTGGGCCTTGCCGATCTTGTGGCCGGGTTTCAAGGAAGTGGGCTTCCAGCCATCCTTGATGTCCTCCAGCGTGGGGATGCAAGCGAAGGGGGCGTTCAGTTGTTCGTTGATAGACTTGGAGGTGGCGGGGAGGTAGGGCGCGAACACACTGGCAAGGAGGTAGATGAGGTTGAGCACGGTACCAACGACAGCGGCGGCGCGCTCGGGCTCGTTGGCGATGAGAGAGTTGTCCAGACGGTTAGCCTGGATCAGACCGTTGCCGGCTTCGGCGATCCTCATGGCTGTCTGCACACCGGCACGGAGGTGCACGCTCTCCATCTCCTCGATGTACTGGCGGAGAAGGCCGGTGAACTCTTCCAAGTTCGACTGGAAACCTTCGGGGACGGTGAACTCGGGAACAGTCGAGCCGTACGAGGCAGTGACCAGCTTGATTACCCGGTTGACCAGGTTACCCAGCTTAGCCAGCAGTTCACTGTTGTTGCTGTCCACGAACGCACGCCATTCGAACTGAGTGTCACCAGTCTCCGGACGATTTTTCAGCAGGAAATACCGCCACACGTCGGGGGAAACGCCAATTTCCTTGGCGTTGTTGCCAAAAACACCGATTCCGCGCGACTTACTGAACTTGCCGTTCTCGTAGTTCAGATACTCAGTCGTGCTCAAGTGATGCAGCATGGTCCACTTGTCCGTGGTTCCTAGCTGCGTACCAGGGAAGATAACACTGTGGAAAGGCACATTGTCCTTTCCCAAAAACTGGTATAACTGCACCTCTTCCGGGTTACGCCACCATTGTTCCCAGTCCAATGTGTAGTTGGCCGTGATCGAAAGATAGCCGATACAGGCCTCGAACCACACATAAAGCACCTTGTTCTCAAGTCCATCAAGGGGAACGGGCACACCCCACTTAAGATCCCTTGTAATCCCACGGTCTTTCAAGCCTTCCTTCAGCCATGACTCAGTGATCACCCGGGAGTTCTTGGGCCAGTTTCCCTTGTCAATAGCGTTGCGAGACCATTCCTCGATCTGCGGCTGCAGCTTGTCCAAAAGGAGATGGATGTGCTTGGTCTCGCGGCGGACGGGGGTGGCACCGTCAAGTTTGCAGTGGGGGTTTATGAGATCAAATGGATCCAACAGATGACCACACTTGTCGCATTGGTCACCACGGGCGTCATCGTAATGGCATCGCGGGCACTCTCCCTCTACATATCGATCAGCCAAGAACGAGCCGTGCGCTTCACAGAACGGTTGCTCTGCCGTCTTCTCCGCGAGATATCCGTTCTCATAGAGCCTCTTGAAAATCGTCTGCGAAATCTCGGTGTGTTTTTGCGTCGGGGTCCGGCCAAAGTGATCAAATCCAATCTCAAACCATTCGTAGACTTCCTGGTGAATCCTGTTGTATTTGGCACACAGTTCCTCCGGCGTCACCTTCTCTTCGAGGGCCTTTGTTTCCGTCGCCGTTCCGTATTCATCGGTACCACAGATATAGAGAGTAGGTCGTCCACAAGCCTTGTGGTATCTATAAGAAATTATATGTTAGTACCAGTACGGCCTGCCATAAAGAGATGGTTGGATACCTCGCGAAAACGTCGGCACTCAACACGGAACCGACAATGTTGCCCAAATGAGGTACGTTATTGACATATGGCAATGCACTCGTCACGAGGATATTGCGCGCGCCCTTCTGGGGCAAAATTTTGGGATCTGAAGCCATTTTGAATATTGGTTCGAGACTCTGAAAATGAATGGCGGCGGGGGGGAGATTTTATGGATGGAGGGGCAAACAGGAAAGCCGAGAGAAAAAGTGCGGATGATTCATCATTCAACTTTTTGGCTTCTCTTGACTGCAACCACTCTGCGACTGACTCCAAGTATTTCTTGTATAACGCCGAAATTATATGCCGTTCGACGTTTTTCTATTCTTCTGGTGTCTCTAATCCCACACGTCACGTTGCTTTGGCCAGATGGAGAGCAATCATTTATTGGAGAGTCTCCTAGATCTGGAGGAGGAATTTTACAAAGAAGGCTATGATCTGGGAGCTGCTGATGGTTCTCAAGCTGGATATACCGAGGGAAGCGTCTTTGCTGTTGAAAAGGGCTTCGAAAAGTTCGTCGAAATGGGACGATTGTATGGAAAGGCGTTGGTTTGGGCTCAGAGACTCGCCGACTCCAAAGCTTCCAAGCAGCCGGGTGCAAAGACAAATACAGATGATATCTCTACAACAAATACGATTGGTCACAAAGATTTGGATGCTTCTTTGGACCCTTCCGTCTGCGCAGAAATGGCGACACTCCCGCCTAGTGCACGGCTGACGAAAAACCTCGATATTTTGCTCGAACTAGTTGATCCTGCATCATTAGTAATGTCGAATACAGAGGAAGCGGTGACAGATGTGGACGAACGCTTGAAGGGAGCTATCATCAAGGCCAAACTCATTCAGCGCGCATTGGGGGAGCGTGAAGACACGGCAGATATACATCCCGGCGTCAAAGACACTCCAGCTGGAGCAGCAACATTAGGTGACGGGACTGGTAGCATCGAAGATATCAGTTCTTTGAACATCCGGCATTGAGTTTTATGGTTGTTCATACTAATACTACCTTTGCTGCTGCAGTTTTGCTGTGGTCACTGACCATGCGGTTTTTTTTTTTTTTTTTTTTTTCATCTTTCATGTCCCCTCTTTACTTTTTCCCTCCCCCCCGAGCCCGCACACTGCCTGCCGTCCTTTATGGCGGTTCGTTCGGAGTCGCTCCGAGTCATAAGTGCAGCAAACATGCCTCACTCCAAACAAAACTCACCGTCCGGTATCGACTTGCTGCAATTAAAAACGACAGCAGCTGTATTGTCTCTCCCTCTCCGGCATTCCTTGCGGCCTCATAGACGATCGGGCTTCCCCCACATAATCGGGCAATTTGGTTGCCCGCTAATAAATTGAATTATTGCAGATCAGAAAGCCAAGCTTGGAAACCGACTAAACCTTGGGGCTGGTGACCTTTTCGATTCGATTGGATGCGTGCTCCGATTAATGCAGTGCGAGGCCTTTATGGAATAATGCCATCAACTTCTAAACCCCTCTTTGTTTGTGAAACTGTGGAGAAACAGCGAAGACCGGAAATAAAGCCAGGGGTCAGAAACATATAAACAGATCGATGGCCTTATGGGGTCAACCTTAATAGAAGAGTGTTTCTCGGTTCCTGGTTCCTGATTTCCCGCCAAGTTCCTCCCCTCCCGGTCCTTGCAGGATACACCGTCTCATAGAGCGATTGCTTCAGAATGCATGTGCGCCTCTCGGCTCTTTGTTTCCTCCTAGCTGGTATCACTCGTGCGCAGACCGGTGTTACCAATCCGATTTCGGAAGATTGCGGCCCCTCGGTGGTATGCATCAATAAATATGCCAATGTGCTCCCGTAAGTCAAAAATCCAAAGAGTCATGTGCAAGATTGGATGTTAACAGAGAATGTGCATGCTAGATACCACTTCTTCCGCAAACTATCTACTGCCGATGTTCCTTCGACTTTTGGCGACATCACCTACGGCAATGGTACTCGGTTAGATGACGTCAAATCAGCCGATTTCCTTGTTTTCGACAAAGAACGCGGTCTCGAGGTCCTGGGCTCTAAGCCCAGCTATAAGTTCATGTTCAGAGTCCCTGAGGTCGTTCACGAAGCGCCTGTCTATGTAGCCTCGCAGAATAAGCTTTACCTGTCCCAGTTGACGCCGGGATATCTCCCTCAGCTGGTCGTCAATTTGAATCAGGATCCGCCAAAGCTGTCCGAATATCTCTCGAACCCGCCTGTCTACGCTCCCAATGGTGGTACGTTCCACAACGGCAAGATCGTCTGGGGTGCGTCTGGCGGAAACAGGTCCGTCAGGGGCAGTGAGCAACGACTGGGGTTGAGAACAGTGGACCCAAAGACGAACCAATCGGCAACCCTGGTCAACAACTACTTTGGATACTATTTCAACACGATTGACGATGTTGCTGTGCATCCGAAAACGGGGGACATCTGGTTCACCGACCCAGACTATTCATGGTGGAATTCTCTCACCGATACCGCTCCTCAACTTCCAACCGCCAGCTACCGGTATAATGCGACCTCTGGCGCTGTGTTCGTGGTGGATGACAGCATTACCCAGCCTAATGGTATTGCGTTCAATCCGGAGGGGACGCTTGTGTACATCAGTGACACTGGTGCGTATCATTATTTCAACAAACCTTTTTAAACAATATTTGCTTAACATGTCTGCATCTAGGCGCTGGAAGAAACACGGTGGACCCGAAATTCGGCCAACACAAGAACACCTTCAACTCATCAGTGGGACACAGGTATGTTGCTTTTGGGCTGACGGCTATATCATTGCTATGGAAATACTAATATCAGAGTAGAACCATCTACGCATTTGACCTGAGCGAGGATGGCACTCGCGCTACAAACAAGCGACCTGTCTATTTGTCTCCTGAATATGTGCCCGACGGTCTCAAGGTGGCTGCAAATGGGTACATACTTACAGGAAATGGGAGAGGTGTAGATGTCCTTGACTCCTTTGGCCAGCTTCTCCTGACGGTTCAGACCAACTACACCGTTCAGAACTTTGCTTGGACCGGTCCTGAGCTCAAGACTCTCTGGTTGATGGGCGCTGGTGGAATAAGCAGGGTTGAATGGGATCTGGCAGGCCAAGAATTGAGGTGATCTCAATTTTAATGGCATTGATGCCGACAATAGTGTTGTAAATATGTTTGGATGATGATCTATGTCTGAAATGTCCGCTGGGACCACGCCCGTCTTAGAATCAAATTATGGAAATATGAACATATCAAATTCTTTTTTTGCTTTCGTTATAAATTGTATATTTAAAAGTGCATCAATCGTCATTACTGCTCCAAGCTCCGCACGGCCATGGCAAAAGCACCCTCCTTGTTCTTGTGGCCACCGATAAACCCACTCGCGTGGGTGAAGATGGCACCCTCGGGAATCTTAGGCTTGCCAGACTTATTTGCCTCTGTGGCAATGACGCCGTCCAGATCCGCGTCACGAACACCACGCCACGACTCAGGCAGAGGCTTGCGAGACTCGAAGCTACTTTCGGAGGTCGAGACACACTGCACCCGCCACTTAGCGTCCTCTGCGGTACTTTCGGCGTAGAGAACATAGAAGACCTCATTCTCAGGGATGGTATCTCCATTACCCGAAGCCTCCTTTTCGAAATTGTACAGATGCTCCTTCCAGGGGATGCCAGCCTTGGGCAACACGATGATGCGGCCGGAGGAGTGGACGTCCCGTCGCGAGTGATACGCATCACGGACGGTCGTGCGGGCGGGTAGCCAAGATGTGCTGGCGTGGTGCAACTTGCGGGTGAAGACGTTTCCAATGAAAGTGCTTGCACGACTAAAGAGACTGTCTTCATCTTGGGGCTCTTCCGGGCAGGTAGGGTCCGGATTGTTCATATCGCCCACCACGGAGGTGATTGTAATCCCACCATCTTTGAACCTTTTCTCAATACCAGCGGATGCGATAGCTGCGGGGTCGTAAGAGGAGATACCGTTGTCGTTGGCATCGATGGCCTCAATGAAGCTGGTGTAAAGCTTCTCGTACAAAATGGAGACATCTTCGTGGTCTAGCGGCAATCCGGTATGCTGGGCAATAATCGCACGACCAAAGTGCATGTAAACTAATCCAGCAGACGAGAGTTTTGTTTCATGGTTGGGGAAGAAGGTCGCGAAAGTCCGTTGGTGATGATCATAGCGGTTGCGGGAGTGATCATACTCCCCACCGACATCGACAACGGTGTGACATTGCTCAAGCTGGGCCGGATCTCTGGTACGAACAAGAGGAGAAGATGAGTACGTGGGGAGCAGACGGAGAAGGTAAACAGCGAGAGCTTCGTCGGCATGGAAATGACCGCTTGAAAAAGGAAGCGTAATCAGTAACCAGACAAACGTTATTGGAAGTGAGCAAGAACATACTTATGGGTTCCGAGGACGGGTGGGGAGGTCTTGAGCTTCTTTGTAGTAGTTTCTTCGGCCATTCTGAACAACTGTCGAAGTTTAAACATAAACCAACAATGAATAGTTCAGTTCGTATGGACGATATATCGTTGTCACGTTCAAGGGAAAATCTGGATGAGTTGCCTTATCGGGACATTAATTAGGGCTCCTATCAGAGGGCTTCCCCCATCAGGTGGCTGTGTCCATATCAGGACTAGTGCAAGGCATTAATACGAATGGAAATTATGGCCGTATCAGCCTTACGCGCTGTCACATGCTCGTGTTTTCCTCTCTAAACAGTGTATTTGTCCCTTTTTCCTTTCTTGTCTGCCTTCGACTTTCCTTTTCTGTCTCTTCTTGTAACCATCGCTGGAATAATCTTTTCCACCAGTGGTTATTATTTCAATACAATTTCTTTTTCCTGCATCCTTCGCTCTAATTCTCTGCTTTTCTCTGCTGCTTCTGACCGCTACAATCCTGGATTCCACCGCCTCGTCCCCAGCCTGCAAGTGCCGCGCAGGAACCAGCTGTACCCTGTCCAGCGCAAATTTCGCCTGAGATTGCACCGTCGACTGGTTCAACCCTTCTCGAACGGGCAAGCGAAAACATACACACGCATCAAAGAGATATACTACTTTTCTGCGCTGGTTGCGCCACCGTCAAGTTCACCACGTGAGACTCGTCTTATATTCTGACCCGCCTGGAGATAAGATCAAAAAAAAAAAGGCACTACACTAACACACGGACGTGACCAGAGAAGCTAAAAAAAAAAAAAATAATAATAATATATATACATATATATATATATATATATATATGAGAAAAAAAAATAAAATAAAGTGAGGGGCACAAACAGATAAACCAGCTTTATGTGAAGAAGTCAGGCATCTACATCTTTTTTCGTCATTCTACTCAGCTCTCTCCGGTATACGGATAATAGGTACCTAATACCTAACTGGGAATCCAACCCTGGTTTTCGTGCCTCGTCGCGTGTATCTAGCAGCTGTCACATCATCGACCCTTTTCTTCCCCACCCGCGCTCCTTCTCTATTATCAGCAACCCCCGCTCGTTCCAGTGATATCGTTTCGTCTTACGCCGAACCCCATGTGGCTCTTCCGCGCCCTCTCGTCGGCCTTCTTCCTCACGGTCACCGTCTCGTCGATTCCACTCGCATTTGATGTGGGTGGAAAGACGTGCGGCTTGGCCTTTTCGCTTTCTCTGGCGACCTTCTACTTTATCTTTTCCCTTTTAAAGGTCACCACTCCGGACCGATCGTGGCTTAGATCCTCGTTGATCGTTGTCATCAGTTCTACGCAATGGCTTATTATCCCGATTCTCCTTATCTGGTCGCTGAATCGATTCTCCATTGATACGGATAATTCTACCTCATGGGTGGAGCGGACTTTCAGCGGAAAGAGAGCTCAGGACTCGTCGATTCAGGAATGGTTGTTTGGTCCCGATGGATTGGTGGAAACCGTGACGGTTGGAAACTGGGAAAAACTTTTGCGATGGTCAACCCCAGTTTTTCAGCTGGTAGAGGGATTTTGCAGTCTATTGGTCATTCAGGCTGCAGGACAAATCACCAGATGGTTGGTCAACCGTGGTGGACGCAGTGATAGTTGGATGGTATGTACCCATGCTCTTTCTTCCTTATGGTTATGCAATAGAGGGGCTAATATTGTCATAGATCGGCCTATTGGTGATGTCCGCTTCGATTATATCCAGTTCCGTTTACTTCCTCTGGCGAGTCCTCCAGTTTCCCGAGATTTCAAATGTCGACGCAGCTCTGATTGGCGTTTCCATCACGTGTGCCGTGATCTTGTGTGCATGGGGGATCGGCAGCGGCCGTGGAAATCCAGTGGAAAGCTCTCTCTTGTTTGCCTATGTCGTCCTGTGCATTTATCAAATCTTTACCGATTACAAGCCCTCGCATCCAGTCGAACAGATTCCGTCGCCATCGCAAGCAGGAGATTTCCCCCCTCTGCCTCCTATCATCATGGCGTCTTACACCACCCTCATGCACGCGCTGTCCCTCCTTCCCTCCATCATCCATGCAGCTTTCAACGTGATCAACGCGGTTTTTGGTGCAGTGACACCATCTGTTCTTATCTCGCTCGCCTATCGTCTCTTAGTGCTCTATGCCTCGACACGGATTATCCCAGCTGTTCGTGAATCTGGAGCCCGTGCCTTGTTCCAAGAAGCTTCTCTGGATGACTCTGATGCGGCGGGTCAGTTCCTGGGATTCCTCAGCTACTTCTCTCCCTCTATTCTTATCTCGGTTTATACAAGTCTTTTAATGCAGCATTTTTCCTCAACCTCCGAAGCAATGGGAGGTAGCGGTGAATGGTGGAGTACCCAAGGAGGTGGCGGGGGAAATTTCTGGAGATGGATTAACCTCGCCTGCACGCTGGGGTTATATGCTGTTGAACTATATCTAGGTGAAAACGACAGCCTCGACACCGGTCTAGCAGGTCATTGGAAGGCAGACTGAATTGTCTACGCTAGACTGGGTATGATGATTCGTGGTTTGACGATTCCTCGACCATTCTTTTCGTCCCCTTTATCTTGGGGGCGCATGCATCTAAACCAGAACCATTACAGAGACCTCGATTTACGGGACCAAGCATATTCCGCTCTTGGTCATTTCTGACTTATACAGGAGACCGGTCTATTTATAAGTGCACCTGACGAGGACCGGTAGAAATCCGCACAGCTTGGGTCTCCGAGGTACTACCTACTATCTTGACATCTTATCTGGAAACTCCCGGGGGATCCGACTTGTCAAAAGAGGCAATCTTTGCATGATATGATTCTGAAAGACGGCAATATTATTTCGACCTGGGCTTGCAGGGAAAACTCGTGGAAACTCAGTGCGGGGACAGTCCAGTCCGCATCCTATGACGTGGAATCTGATTCAGCATGAAGCTGCTCATCTCGCTCTTTTTCTCTCTTCCTTTTTTTTTTTTTTTTTTTTTTTTTTTTTTTGCTCTTGATATTCTTTGCTACTTGCCATTATACCCCCTTCGTGTCATTCGCTCGAATTCTCATCTCTGTCTGTTTTATCTCGGTGTCTACATTTCTGTTCCAACTGGTCTATTTGCTCATCGATTTCTTACTGAGCAATGTCTTCTGTGGACGATTATACCCGAATGATACAGCCTAAATAGCACTGTGTCAGTTCGTCTAGGATCTTGATTTGGCCTTATTTATTATGAGACTAGTTAGCTAATTATATGGAATATGTATGGATCGATACTGATCTATATGATCTAACTCCTTTGGGACAGGGTCAAGCAGTAGATATCTCGATTTGTTGGCCTGCAACCATTATGCATTTATATGTAGACACAAATATAGCTTCAAAATGAAAAAGAGCAAAGTTGATAAGGTATGAACAAAAAAAGTTCGTTATAGAAAACGACAAAACGTGGCGTACGGCATTACATGCGTGGGGTGAGAGGAAATCACAAGATAGGGCAGAATACATTCCTCGAAAACATGGCAATATAATCAATCAAAATGAAGCCATATGGACAAGAAGAAAAGGCGTAACAAAAACGCAGAACGTGGCATCATATGCATGAAAATGAAAATGGAAAAAGAGCGACGGTAAAACAAGTAGACCAAGCACAGGCAAGGACCGAGACACAAGCCGAGCCGGAGGGAACTATTGAGTAAGCGATGTCACGGAGCAGGAAACCTGATGTCTTCCTATGTACGCATTCATCAGGCCAGACGAAACTCTGCGTCTGGACACCACTTCCAACGGCCATTCACCCTCGACATCCTGTTCTGCAGTCCACATTGGTGGCCCGATCAAGGAAGAGAAGCACAGCTCTCACATAGAATTCCATAGCGCCAGGCTCTTTTTTATACCACAAATCACTGCATGAGCAATTAATGGGAGCGAGGGAAAAAGCAAAAGAGAAGACCAGCCCGGCAAGAAGAAACAAGAAAGAAACGGAGAAGAGTATCACTATTGCTTGATGGGCACACCCTCTCGTGCTGGCGGTGGACTGACACTAGATTCATGTGCATCCTTGTCCTTTACGGCTGCGGAGTCCCTGGCACCCTCGGAATCCTCTGCGCTGGTTTCCTGTTGTAAGAAGCTGCCTTCCTTAGCAGGATTTCTGCCTTGAAACCCAATGGAGCCGGGGTGGCCGCTGATGCTGCTTCCCGGGACCTGTTGGCCCTGGGAGCTGGCACTACCGCCGTTGCTGGCGGCAGCAGGGTTATTGGCGCCGGGTGAAGTGGCCGTCAGGTGCGGAATGTTTTCGGGGACGGGGTGCTGAGAGCCAATGTTGGTGACACCGACGTCTGAGGCTTTTCCGGCCTTGCTGAGGGCGTAGTCACCTGAATCGAAATATTTTCGTTCCTATATTGCCGACTGGTATTAGATTGATGGTCAAAGGAACAAACAATGAGCGACAATCCCACCTTGAGTTTGTTCTGGAGAAGATCCTTTTTGTTTGGCATTTTGCCATAGAGACGCAGCAGACGCTGCTCATCTGGGTTGAGGGACTGTGATCAAGTAACAACGGTCAGATCCCTTGGCTTTTTGTTGCTTCTTTCCAGAGGTGGCCAAGACTCACGCTTATGTCAACCTTGTTCTGTTGGTGAGGATTCATTTTGGGCGACTGAAACGAGACTGAACGGTTTTTCGCAGATAAAAGGCTAAGGGAATAGAGTTAAGATGAAGCGATATAAGCCCGTGGTGGTTGCAGTAGTAAAGTTCTCTGGACAGAGCCAATGGTCGAGAAGCGGGGAAGAGAGACAGTTGGGCGACAGAGATCCCTGCCAGACGAAGAGGGAGAGAAAGGATGATTGAAGAATCTGGAGAGTCGAGCAGATACAATCAAATTAGTCGATTCGTGGAGCAAATAGAAATAGCCAGTATAGAAGAACAGTTGGTGAAGGAGACGTTGAAGAGAAGAAACAGTAATAAGAGTAGAAGATGGAAGTTGGTTGCAGACGGAGGAAGAGAGGGCGGTGGGCGGGCAGGCAAACCACAGCAATGATACAATAGAATTTAATTATAATATATGTAAATATTATTATCTGCCAGTTCAACTCTAATTGTATGCAAATATGCAAATATATAGAGTAGAAATGTATATGTTTTTAATTGTTGTTGCGGTGGCGGTGGTGGTCGTGATTATCAGAAGTACAGTATGTGTGTAGATTATGGAGGGGCAATGACTACAGAACAATGAAGTTTTTTTTTTTTTTTTTTTTTTTTTTTTTTTTTTTTTGGCAAGACAGAAATATTATTAAAAAAAAATAGAGATCCAAACTTTATAGTAGTAATGATATATTCTGGAGTATTTGAATATACAAGGCGACTGCTCAACCGCTTCTCTTCACAGTACAGTCCATCGTGTCCCCATTTGGTTCTTTTCGAGCTCTCTATAAAATTTCTATTCTCCCAAAACAACAGGGGCAACCCCAAAAAAAATCACCCTTTCTCTCTAGTCTAACTATATATTTAGTCTCTTTATTCACCCAAAAAAGAGCTGAATATGAGCAAGACTCCTGCTACTTTTGTGGTCGAACACCTCGACTCCGAATTAGGTCCCTGGTCTTCCTTGGAATATGGTTGTATCGCTCATGAATCCCACGCAACAGGCGCTCAGTTCCTGCTCAGCTCCGTTCCCCCGTCGTTGCAGCTGCCTCAGGAGCTGGCCGCCACTGAGGGCCTCGAGATTAACCAGCGCAGCGTCGAAGAAATCTTTGCGGACCGGAAGGACAAGGTCTGCTTGCTTGATCCGGCGGCCCAGGTCGAGTTGAGCCCGGCCGATGGCGATCAGTTTGAAGTGTTTCTCTTTGGCGGTATTCTTGGTAGGTTTTGCTTTTCTTCCAGCCGTAAATATTATCCATTTTTTTCCGTGGAAGGAAGCTAACTATATGAAACCAGGCGATGATCCTCCGCGGGGTGGGTAATTCTATGAAATGTTACTTCCCTACTTTGCAATTGACTAGAATGACTGCTAGATCGTACCAAGGAATTGAGAAAAAAGGGCTACGCAGGACGTCGGTTAGGTCCTAAGCAGATGACCACCGATACGGCAGTGCGAGTCACCCGTATGATCTCGCAGGATAGAAGTGAGAGACTATCAAATCGCAACACAATGAAATGCTAATCCATCAACAGTTCCTCTAGAGCAAGTCCCATACATCGACTACCCAGAAATTCGGATTACCGAGAATGAGCGCACCGAAATGCCATTCCGCTATGTCAAGGGTGCGGATGGCCAACCGATCATGCCTTCTGTACGTTACTGGTGCTCGCGGGTACTCTGTACATGCAGAACACTTGAAGTACTGACTTGTCTAGGGTATGATCGATCTCATCAAGAAGGACGCCGACAAAGGCGTCGATGATCTATTTTAATCTGTCTGCGGTCTACCCGGACTACACTGTACAAAGCAAGACCGAATATTAGACTCTGTCATGAATGTAAAGGAACCCATACCTCTTAGGACCCTCTTCACTATTGGGCCCATTCCATAGTAACAACCACTGGCGTCGAATCCTGCAAGGCGCAGCAAGGCTAAACACTACTTGTACCCCAGTCTCTTTTCTTCCCCCAAGGCTATTATTGTCCATCTCTGGTTCGCCTCGTTCAAGGCTGAATTCCTGCTTTCTTTCAACGTCTTTTTCGAGTATATAAAGAATAGAATCCATTCTACTCCCGATCCGGCAGGTGATTTGTATCGATGTTGTATTGATACCGTATTTCCATTTCTGAAACTAAAGAAACTGCCTGCAAGACGGCGTAATCGACCTGTCACACTGCCTCACCGCCTTGGAGGTTTGGAAGGCCACGCCAGCGTCTTGCTTTTTTGTTTCGTCTTCATTTTCAAAATATCCTCACTTGGTTGACCTAATTCTCTCCTTAATTCTGTGCTGGGAATTGCTCTAGAGCCGTCATAGAGAGTTCATTAATTTAGTGCCTGTCCCTCAACACCCGGCTCCTCACGTCATCCGCCCGCGTTTCACTCCGATACGAGTTCCGATGCAGTCGTGAGCACTCGCATTCTGTCACCCTCTTCAATGAACTGCCTCTGTTCTTGTTATACCGGTTAACAGAACTAATTGATATTTATTTTTGAGATTTGGTTCTTCCCGGGCTCGGTCATCCCGTTCAGAGAAAGCAAAAAACAAGGATGGTCTCGCTATCCTTGGGCAGGGGCTCAAGGAAGGGAGCGAGCGCTCTCTCGCTTTCCTCCATGACCTCCTGGGCTTTGTCGCTACTTCTCTCATACAATGTCGACACAGTATCTGCTAAATCGGCAGCTGATTATTATGTCCGCTCATTGCCGGGGGCACCGGATGGGCCACTCCTGAAAATGCATGCTGGGTGAGTTATGCTCGCGATGAAGCACATACAGAAAACTTGGGCAACAAGAAGATGAGACTGACGCATGGAATAATTAAAGACATGTAGAAGTGGACCCGGACAACAACGGCAATCTCTTTTTCTGGCATTTCCAGAACCGTCATATCGCCAACCGGCAACGAACTATTATCTGGCTGAACGGGGGTCCGGGTTGCAGCTCCATGGACGGTGCATTGATGGAAGTTGGTCCGTATCGAGTCAAAGATGATCAGACATTAGAGTACAATGAAGGCTCCTGGGATGAATTCGCCAACATGCTGTTTGTCGACCAACCCGTCGGGACCGGATTCAGCTACGTCAACACGGATAGCTACATCCATGAACTGGATGAAATGTCGGCTCATTTCATTACATTTCTCGAGAAGTGGTTTGAAATTTTTCCGGAATATGAAAGAGATGATGTAGGTCTTTGGTCTCGAACCACTTCACATCTGATCTACTCCTAATTTGCTTCGTTATGTGCAGATCTATTTCGCGGGTGAATCCTATGCCGGTCAACATATACCGTACATTGCAAAAGCCATTCAGGAACGAAACGAAAACGCGACTCAGAGTGGTGCGAGTAAATGGAATCTCCGCGGTCTTCTAATCGGAAACGGTTGGGTATCCCCGGTGGAACAATACCAGGCATACTTGCCTTATGCCTACGAAGAAAGTCTCCTCACAGAAGGTAGCTCGCTCGCCAAGAACCTCGAAGTGTCGCAGTCTGTGTGTCTTTCTCGCCTGGAGGCCGATAAAGACAGAGTCGGCGTACCCGAGTGCGAGGAGGTGTTACAGGAATTATTGAAGCGCACTGTCGATGGGAACAGAGAATGTTACAACATGTACGACATTCGTCTCCGCGACTCTTTTCCGTCATGTGGCATGAACTGGCCCCCGGACCTAGTAAACATCAAACCATACCTTCGCCGGCCCGACGTGGTTAGTGCCTTGAACATCAACCCGGAAAAGAAGACTGGTTGGGAAGAGTGCACTGGAGCTGTGAGCAGCCGGTTTACCGCCCATAATTCTGTCCCTTCTGTCCGCCTACTTCCAGAGTTACTCGAATCCGGCGTTCAGGTTCTTCTCTTTAGCGGTGACAAGGACCTGATTTGCAACCATGTCGGAACAGAGCAATTGATTAACAACATGAAATGGAACGGAGGAACCGGTTTTGAGACCTCACCAGGTGTTTGGGCCCCACGTCATGACTGGACATTCGAAGACGAACCTGCTGGTATCTACCAATACGCCCGCAACCTGACCTACGTCCTTATCTACAACGCAAGCCACATGGTTCCCTATGATGTTCCGCGCCAGAGTCGGGACATGGTCGACCGCTTCATGAGAGTGGATATTGCTAGTATTGGTGGCAGTCCGGCCGACTCGCGCATTGACGGCGAGAAACTTCCGCAAACCTCAGTGGGCGGTCATCCGAACAGCACGGCCGCTGAGCAACAAGAAAAGGAACGGATCAAAGAGACCGAATGGAAGGCTTATGCCAAGTCCGGCGAAGCTGCTCTGATCGTCGTTATCATCGGTGTGTCTGTTTGGGGCTTTTTCATCTGGCGCAGCCGACGGCATCACCGCGGCTACCGGGGTGTTTATCAGAAGGAAACCTCTCACAATGGCTCGTCTGTGCTTGAACGTTTCCACAACAAGCGCTCTAGCGCTAATGATGTGGAAGCAGGAGACTTTGATGAGTCCGAGCTTGATGACCTGCATTCTCCTGGTTTGGATCGTGAACACTACGCGGTGGGCGATGACAGTGATGAAGATGAGCAGCGGCCATCTAGATCAGGACAGGCGCAGGATCATTTATCGTAATTTTGCTTCAATTTCTTGCTGATTATATTTTGTCTTCTTTTGGGAGGGACGCAGGTTTCTACATTTATCTGAACATGGCGATTGACTAGATACTATTACTACGGGATAGAATGGACAAATACCATCAACATTCACAGTTAATATATAATAATGCTCCGTGTCTATTTGAGTTTATGTTATTTCATCATAAATTGGTGCTGTTTATTCTTGAAGCTATCAAAACGAGGTCCAAAGAATGCTAATATATATAATCATAACCCAAGTGTCCAAACCTTGATACTCCCATCATCAGCAGTAGTAACCAGGACCTCCTCTTCCTTGCCCTCTTCACGACCCCGATCCGCTCGCTTTGCCCATGCGACATGGTTGATCTCGTAGATACTATGCGCGCCGTCGAAAGTCGCAATGACGTTCCATCCCGTCTGGAGGGGAGAGGGCGAAGCAGTGCTGTCATCAGTTGTGTCCATGGCCTCACCAGCTGGGGAGTCCTGCTGTTCATTGGCGAATTGCTCCTGGTAAACGACGATACGGCCATCGGCACCCACGGATGCCAGCAGTCCGGTTCGTTTGCTCCATGCCACGGCGTAGATAGAGAGATCGTGCGCCGACGGCAGAACACCCTCTTCCGTCCAGATTTCGTCAGTTCCTGTTGGACGGATGATGCTGGGCATATTTAATTGCTGTTGCTGTTGCTCTTTCGGCTGCTTTTGCCAGAGACGGATAGTGCGGTCGTCAGAGCAGGAAATCAAACGAGGACCAGATAAGGCGTGACTGGTCTTCCATTGCTCTGCCAAAGAAGCTGACGCAGGCTGGGAATAAGGCACATTCTCCACGCCCTCCCAGTCAATACACCAGACCGTTCCCTCATGTCCCTTAAGACAAGCCACCTGCCCCCAATCGTCAATATCCTCTCTCCACAACCGGATTGTATCATCGTAGCTCGCGCTGGCCAGACACTCCTCGACTGGATGCCATGCCACTGATTTGACATCACCCGCATGCTCCTGCATCACTGCCACCGTCTCAAAATTGTTATCCCCGTCGTCCAGGTCCTCCCAAATCCAGATCGACTTGTCGCGCGAACATGTTGCGAGGAGCATTCCTGATGGTGACCATGATACTGATTTGACTTCGCTGTCGTGGCCATCGAGGAGGACGGCGAAGCGCCATTCTTCTTCGTCTTCGTCGTCAACATCATCATTTCCAACCTCGCCATCTTCTCCAGCTTTATCATTCCTAGAATTGAGTCCCCAATCCTCTGCGCCACTTTCTCCTCCGCGTCCATAACTATCCCACCGTCTCCAGATCCCAACGGTCGCGTCGAAACTGCCAGTCGCCAGAACACTTTCACCCTGCACATGCGGCTTCCAAGCACATGTCCGCACACTACGCTTATGCCCACCGGTGATTGTCGAGAGAAGTCGAAAGTTTGTGAGTGAATAGACCCGGATAGTCTTGTCAGAACTGCAGGTTGCAACTATGGGGAGGGTCGGATGCGGTGCTGTCAGCCAGGTTCGTTCGAGGGATGGTGGTGTCAAGTCTGAGAGATGGGTGATGGCAACGGCTGCCATGACGAATCAATTAATGGCCCTAGCAGAGGGACCTGAGGAAGAATTCTGTTTTTGAATCGTTTTAAAATCCTTCGTGATTTGTGGCGTTCTTCGGTCGTTCGACAGAAGTTGAAGCGGGTAGGAGAGAAGTTGGCGGGGTTGATATTGTTACAATTACAGCATGCAGCAGAGGTCGATGATAAAAAGCACTAATGCAGTCTAAATTCAAGGATGAATAAAACGTAATAGAATGTAATAATCCATTCTCCCTTTCCACCATCCATTACTGTACTAATGTCCATAGATAAAGATAAAATAAAAAAATCATAACCAAAACCACGAGATTATATGAGCACCATCACGAAGAAACGCCTTCATCCAATATCCTCTCATAAAAAACGCCATGACAGAGCCAATCCACCTCCCGGACCTTCTCCAATTCCTCCACCAGCTTCCCAACCACATTTAAAAACTCAGGCATCCCAGCTCCCGCCAGACTCTGACTCGCAGTCGTCGTCGTTCGCACTCTCTCGCTGGCACTCGATGCACTGAGGCGAGAGAGAACGTGTGTGCGTAGACGGGACAGGATCAGTCGGGCGACAGGATCGCTGAAGCTTGTCGCAGTGGATCCCGATCCGTTACTCGAGCCGTGGTGGGCGGGCTCCCTTTCCTCTCCGGGGGACGAGGACGAGTCTTGCATGGAGTCGCTGCTCACATTGACCTCAACCATTATCTGGGATGAAGAGGGAGGAGAAGAGGCAGCCTCACATGCAGTAGCGACTGGTCCCAATACCCGCCGAATGGTCGCCGCCAACTGCGTACTGGCACTGGGAGGCATGGGGTGCGTCGACTCTAAGATTGACTGCACTCGCTCCGGCGTGATATCATTGAAGTCTAGCGATAGAATCCGGTCTGCTTCAGCCTTCCACTGTGACCGCACATCACGCTTGAGTAGGTTCTTGGCTGTCAGGAGAATTGACGCCGTAGCCACGATCCTATATGCTGTCGCATGCAGGACGTGCAGCCGAAGACGGTCTAATTCCAGAGTTTCTGGGATCAGATCATTAGAAACTAACGCATTACTGAGGGTTAAATCAGTAAGGCCTTGCGCGTAGATCCTTAGAGCTGGAGGTCGGGGTTCCCCGTTGACATTCTCTGGATCCCGTTTCTTCATCTCGTCCACGATGACCTTCCGATGTGTCCGCCAAAATCGCCTTGTCTTTCCTAATCCTACTGTGCCATCTTGGAGGTCCTTCTCGAATGCACGCTGCTCGTACCCAGGGCCCTCCTGGATGAGTTGAGGAGCGGCGACCCGGATCATGAAATTTGTGTGATCCAGCGACAAAAGGTCAATAATCCCCATCAACCGCGTGAGACGGTCGATGGCATCTCCAGATCTATCTTCAGCAAATGCGTGGACTTGGGAATCCCGGTACGGCGCACACAATTTCGGCAGGATAGTGTTCATGAATTCAAAGAAATTTTCATAAGAGAATGCACCAGCCTTGCACTGATTCTCCACCAATTTAGGATCGAGAACCTCACTGATCAGTATGTGCAGCGAGTTGCCTGGCCGAAGTGAACGTAGAAGTCGGTCTTGAACCACCGTGGCCATCGCAATGGTCCAATTCACGCCCAGGCCTGCTTCCACGTCCTTCCTCATCATGGCGCACATGTGTTGCATGATCTGTCTGCGCGGTTCGGTGTACTGGGTCTCGTCGACCCTAAATTCCTTGTTGACGAGGAGTTCGTGGACCAATGTGCGATTCTCCGGCAGAGCCGTGAGCATCTTACTGAAATGCTCGTGTGGCGAAATTCGCTGTTGGTCCAGCTCCTGTAAAACTGAGCTGTCTACGTTATTGAACGTCTCGCTAATAGGAGATGTAACGCCATCCGTCAGCGCTTCATTCGAGTTTGTCCCTTCGCTTGCGGACCGAGGAATAGCTTGCTTGGATACGCTCCGCTTCTTCGCGCGTTTAGCCTTTTTCAAAGCACCCCGCACCATCTGCATCGCATTTTCAGAGCCCACAAGACGCTTCAGCCGGGCCAGAAGTGTAATCTGGTTCTGCCGGATCCCTTCTCTATAATCATCCGCAACACCACCCGCCCGGTCATCCTTGACTGTCTGCCAGATCAACTCCAACTCGACGAACTGAGCAAGCATGATCTCGGTTAGAACACTCGAGTCATGCGACTTCCAAGCATGGAACGTAGAAAAGAAGACGCTGTATGCCTCGCACAACGTTTGGAGTTCGGTGGAGATGACTAATGGAGAGCAGCAGCCGGACAACAGCAACGATGTGACCTGTTCAAACACCACGAGTAACTCCCGCGCTTTGGTAATCAGGTCCTGTTCCTGTTCCCCGTTACTGCTCAAAACTTCCTTGGGATGTGTGACGATAAGATAGCTACTTAAAAACGTGCGGACAGCTCCTCGACCGCCCATCGTCCCGTTCGTCACATCTTGCAAACCGCAGAGACGAAGCACTCGGGCCATGGTGTCCAACACCCTGTCCTCTGAGAGCAACGCCCCGATATCCTCGAAAGCCATGTTATTGATATTCCCGACGTTGACGCCTAGGGTCTGGAATTGCTGCATGACCGATCTCGCATGGTATGTTTTCCAGACCCGCTGGATTGTCTTCGCTGCCGCATCTTGGGTCAGCGACCTAGTAACCTCCTGAGCCATTTTATTTTCCTCTGTAACTGGCAGGCTGCTCGTACGCTGACGCCGGTGGCTCTGTTGATAGAGCATCCGTCGCCTCTCAGTCTCTGCGAACTTCTCCGCCATTTCCAGACGTAATCGGTCATGTTCCGCAGCCTTCTTTTCCCGGTTGTCTTCTGCTATCTTCTTCGCCCGTCGGACTTCCTCCTCACACTTTGCCGTGATTTCTGCCAATAATCGCTCCCGCGACTGGTGAGCGGCCAGCGCCCTCTCCTCCCGGTGCATGTTTCTTGTAGCGGTCTTGGAAAGAGTAGCCCGTCTTCTCACTTTTTCTGCATGCAACGCGCGGTCTGCAAGTCTAGCCTTGCGACTCTCGAGGATAGATGTACGGCGAAGGTGTTGCGCAATGTGATCCGTCGGAGATGCGCCCCGGGCGGATGCATTCGAATGATGGGAATGGAGGGAAGAAATCGAACTGCGTCGAGACGATGCTACCGAAGAACGTCTGGCTGCGGTAGATTTTCGATAAAAACGAGCAGCGATATGAGCGGGCAAGCTTAGCGGTGCTGGTGGCTTTTCCGATGACATTTCCACGTCCGACTCATCCATGGATTCCGGTACAGCGCCGGGATCAGCATCCGGAAGGTGAATCTCAATATCGGAATTTCGACGCATCGTAAGTTGAGGGCGCAGGAGGGAGACGAGGGATAGTATTGCGCTCGAAGAAAAGGAAAGGAGGGGGAAACGGGTGCGATAAGCAGCGCGGGGGTTGTTCAAAAGAGGCCGAAAGTGAGACGAAAGCCCAACGAGTGTCGTATAATCGAATCGGAATCGGTAACGATCTCAATAATAAATTCGTCTTACAACCCGCGGTACACGGTCTCATGGAACTGGAATCCAAAACTAAAGCGCATGAGACGCTTTCCTGAGGCCGATATTGTCCGCGGAGAGATCCGTGTTGCGTTTCAGATCCGGACCAGATACCAGGAAGAAGACTCCGAGATATTCAGGGAGGTGAGAGTAGGAAGAAAGAAAAAAGAAAAAAGAAAAAAAAAAAAAAAAAAAAAAAAAAAAAAAAATAGAACTATCAGCGACAGAGTCTGCCGCCCATCTTGTCTCGTTAATATCCGTGTCTTCTTCTGCTGGACGATGGGCGAAATCGAAGGACATCGAAGCCGCAAGCAGACGTGGCTTAGTTAAGCATCCCCGATTGCGACTATGCGGTCATGCTGGCCCAATTAGGAAAGTCACGCTGATGACGTCCAGGCGATTCATGTTGACGAGAGCAGTGGCTGATCAATTCCTGACCACGGACTGCGAATAACAAAGTATTTCAATTATGGGATGATCTTGTATGGTTCGTATATTGAATTAGGCTTACTGCTAGACCTGCATAATCGAAACCTTTTTCCTCGGTCGTAGATCTCTTGGATATATACCGCGCGCCACAGCTTCTTGGCCCTGGCATGAAACAACAAGAGCGTAGCTATCATGCAACATACGTGTAATACTTTATATCGATGGGCCCCCATGTCGGCTGCGACAAGGCCGCGATAAGGAAATAGAGAACCATTCAACTTCAAGTGCTTTCAGCAACCAAGTTTCGAGACTTGCTGAGAATGTGTCGTTTTCTTCGGGTGAACTGAGGCCATGGTGCTGTATAAATTTGGATCGCAAATTTGGCTTTCATCGGTGTCCGAAGATGTCAATACTATCGTCGTCATCATCGTCATCCTCTTCCTCCTCTTGCTCGTCGTCTTCGTCATTCTCTGATACACTCGCATCAGACGACTCCACGGCTTCTTCACCATCAACAGATTCTGTTTCCCGACTGAGGAAACCATAGCTGTATTTAAGTTTAGTTCCCCATATGCGGAGCTCGCCGCCATGATCATTTCCGGCGTCTCTTTGTGTTCCACTGCCAAAAAGAGACGTTGATATCGACTTATCATCATGTTCCCGGTTGGGCGGTAAGCCAAAATAATTGCTGACCACAGGAGACACAGCACGATCACGAGTAAGGCTGTATGACAAGAACCGGCCACTTGGGTCGGCAGACGAAGATAAACTTTGCTGTGGAAAATTTGTTCCTTGCACGGAACTGGTATTGATTCGTAACGATGCCATATTTTGCGACAAGGCTTCATCTGCACCATGGGACGATGATCTCGCTCTAGAAGTCGAAAGATGCCTGCTTTCAAGGTCCTGTTCCGGAGACTCGAGAATGTCACCATGTAAAAGCCGGAGCTGGGCTGTGTTATATGACTCGCACCTGGAGTTTGCCTATATCAGCACGACTGTCCATAGTACCTGGTGGCTGAAACGACTCACATATCGCATTTGAGCCCCAGCCAATGGTATTCCACGACGGACTTTGCTCCACAGTCATTACAATATACTAGAGCCTTCGTATCTTTGAACTCTTCTGGCATTGGCTGGCTTTGTATGGTGCGGTCTAGATTTCGAAACGTAGATTCCATGTTCGTGATAGTCTTGCTACATATCGGGCAGCGATATGAACTTTTCGAGTAATCTGAAAGGCACCTGTGGTGAATGCTATGTCCACATCGCATCACGACCACAGTTTCCGGTGAGGTGAACATGTAATCTCCGCAGATCGGACAATCGCATTGAGTGGACCGCTCGATACATCGATGGGTATTTTCAATCGATATAGGCAAGCATACGCTGCATGTCTAGTTTTCGTTCAGTACTCAAGCGATACTCTGCATTCCGGCGATGCAGTCCCGCTTACCTTGCAATGGAAAAAGTCTTTGCCCAATCCTTGGCCTATACGACAAATGCCACAATCCGTGCAATGGTATATACTCTTCTTGCTGTCATTATCCCACAGCTTGCAAACCTCGCAAAAGTATTGTGCAGCCTGCTCGCCACATTTTTCACAAACATGGGCAGCAGACTGGGCATGCCCACAGATCATGCATAGCATTTTCTCCGTCTTGTGTCGAATAAGGTGGTGATCCTCAACTTCATCATGGCAAAACCGACAAGTGTACCATTTCTTGCAAGCAACGCACTGGAGTTTGACATTCCGCTTATAGTGCTGACAGCCCAGCATAGTTGTTTCCTCGAACTCCTCGATGTCCATGTCTTCCCCGTCAAGCACAGGTGATTCCGGGTCATCTTTTGGGAAGAAAGTCGGCTGCAGGTCTTCTTCTGTTAGATTATACGGGTTATCATTCGGTTGATGTAGAGCGACTGTCAGGGATGAAGGATGATCGAACGACGGCTCTTCCCCATAGAGTACAGGAGTCAAGGGTCGCCCAGGGCTCTGGAAACTCGAAGGAGCGAGTAGTGGCGCGGGCAGAAGGTCAGGATACCCTCTCGAAGCGTTGTATTTCTCTGTCATCAACTCGTGGACCATCCGGGCTTTCTCTGCGCTGCTAGATCTCATATCTCGAATAGCGTGAATTCTTCTTCTCAACACACCCATTCCATCATCTTCTGGAAGCGCAAACTGCCAGCTTGATTCGTCCATATCAGACAGATGATTTTGCGAGCGTCTCCTTTCATAGTTGTTGGATGTCTGCGTCAGCGTAGTAAATGCTTCGGCGTTCTGTTCGGAAGGGATAGGCCCAGAGCCTGAAGATACTGGATTGTCTTCAATAGACCGAGAGTTCTCAAACCCATTTTCTAGCTTGTTCGAAGAGGTAGTATCCGCCCCGCGCCCGTGTCGAGTTGTTTCCGAGTCCAGCGTTGACGTCGTTGGTGAATTGGCGGGGTCATTTCCGGGCCCTGCATATCCACACCCTAGTCCCATATACTCTTGGTTCCGATCCGACATGATAATTTCCCTGCTGCCATTGTTATCGGACAGGGGTTGTGGTTCTGTTCTGCACCGAGAGCTCGGAGGAGAATCCGATCCCGAATGGTCGCTAGTACTAGTATCCGTCTGGGAAGAGAGGCGACGGGTCTGACGAATGACGGGTTCGATCAGCAAAGAGGAGATAAGCCCGCTCATGGAGGGCCGAAAACAGCGTCTAATGAATAATAGAACATGGGGAGGAAAATTGAATGAATAGACTAGGGGTATTCTTTACTGATTTTTATGGAATTTTGCTCTGGTCAGTTCGTCGTTTTCCTGCGAGAGTGCCGGAACAGGAACGAAGACATGTGACTGAGCCCCTGGGATCGGACGCTGATTCGCCGCCCATGAGACTCGCTGACAATGCCCAATCTTACTACTACGCTGTGCTACTATTGTTTGGCTGATGAAAATAGCTCGATAGTTACAATATAGTGTGTGCGCAGTAAATGTTCATAACTATGCTGGAAGGTGCATTGTATCATATCCGGTCGTTCCTGTCTTGGTAAAAATAGTTGTTCTATCTTTGTTCCCAGGTCTCCCATTCAAGCGTACGCACTCCGTATTCAATTGGTGTTGTACGGCTTAATTGTCGAGTGTGATCTTCCCTTCTGATCTACTTGAGGAGCTATTAAACATCACCCAGCCGGAATCGGTATAGTGGAATCCAATGCTGGCTCCGAACAGAAGCAGATTGAAAAACTCATCCCTGGGCGTATGTATGCCAGTCTCCATACAATTCCAGTTGTGCTTTTCGGAAAAATGTAGTCACCACGGTCTGAATAACTCGCGGGTGATGAATGAGGAAAAAAGTCGTGAGTGTTCCTGAACGTCATCTGTCACCTTAGACATGTTCCTAGGCTTTCATTCAGAAGCATGAGCGTCAACTCAAATTCTTCATTGGCATCTTTTCGGGCATGGGCTTCGCTTCCTTCGATCCCTATACCTTTCAGGCTTCAGCAAGGTCAGAATTGCACTGTCTCCTTGTTGTTTCTCAAGAAGTTCTGGTATCCAAAAAGAGTCTTACACTCGAGCATTTTTCCTCACTTGCGGTTGTTCCCAATACCTAATGGTCATCAAATTCTTCAAAATCTTGTGCTCGAGGCCTGCGACATCAGTTGCTTGCTGGAGAAAGCGCATAGTGTTTGCGATCCTTTGTAAATCAAAATCATTTGGCGAAGATGAACGGAATCCGGATCGCAAGGTCTTGAGCAAGACATGTCGTGCAGGTACCGAATAATGAAGCGCTTTGAGACCTTGCCGGTATAGATGGCGGTAAGCGTGGACAACAGCTCGCTTGTCCATATTGTGGTTGCCGGATACGACCTACTACTGCCCGGACGACACCCAACTAAAGGTTACTCGTCAACTAACCCGAAGTCGATCAGGCCGCAACATGACTAAGCAGAAGCTTCCCATTTCCTTCATCTAACCATCCCTCCTCCACCTTTCGCTCTTCCAGATAGGCAGGAATAAAAACCGTGTGCGAACAGCTCTCGCTTTGGGTCTTATCAGGCCTAGCTTCTGGGGTTTGCAACCAATCACGCTGTCTGTTTACTTGCAAACTCGACATCAAAACCCGACGCCGCCTGGCTACACGCGCCGTTGTAGAAATGGTTGACTAACTTGTTACAGCGAACTTACACCTTGTCTCTTTTCTCCTCATATTACTTTTATGGAGCTTGTGTTTGCGTTTTTTTTTTTTTTTTTTTTTTTTTTTTTTTTTTTTTTTCCCTATCCGTTGCCCTTCCTCTTTCCCTTCCTTTTGCATGCTCGTCGGTGGGCATTCTAATGTCTGTTGTTCATACGTTGTTTGATCAAGGTGAAGATGTTTCGACAGACAATCTGAAGGCAGGGATACCCATAGCGAAAAAATGGTACGCGTATTCAGGAATGCCTCGGCTTCGGTCAGGCGCGCACCCAGTAGGGCCGCCAAAAGGAATGCCCAAAAACACAAAGTGATTATGGAATCTATCACGCAAGAAAAGAAGAAACTCCGAAGTGTTGTATGTTACCGCTATGTCTGTTCCACATATGGACCAACTTGACCGGTCGATTGGCAGATTTCATTTGAAACCAAAGCGCCCCCTGGCTATACCTTCATTTCAGCAGGTAATCCCCAGGTCACAAACGCCTGTAAAGAGCTTTGTCGAAAAGGTGGTTTGAAGATCTATGCTGTCACGGTAGGCCAGGAGTGTTTCTTAAGCTTACCTGAAAATCTACCATGCTTACGATTTTCTTCTAGACAACTCCTCACATGCGCAACCACGATCTCTCTCAACACGTGCATCGAATTGGATTTCATTTTCCAAGTACAATTGTTGCTACTGTATGTATGAATTTAGGGTTGTCTCTTACAGCAACGGGGAAGGTTGTGCCCGTTCATGGTGTTGGCAGTCACCCTAGATCCAATGATGAAGAATTCTCTCAAATAGAGATCAACACCGAGGCAAGAGACGCTCTAAGGGATCTTTTCCCTAATATACCAGACAATGATTTGAATCAAATAATCAAAACAGCATTTCAAAAGGTATGTGGCAGTAGTTTCCGCAAAGATACAAGTGTCAGACGGAACCGCGAATGCTAAGTCAAGAATAGGGTCAACAAAAAGTTGGTACAGCCCTTGAATTGCCATTGGCTCGCCGTGCCCAACTGGCAGTAGTGGCACACATTCGTCATGTCTACACTGATTACGACCGTCTTTTGAAGATGACCTCTTTCCACGAAGCAAGAAGCTTAGTTGAAGAGCCAACACTGGCAAGATTAGTGGCATGGCGTGGAGATGACGAAAATGGGAAAACAGTACTTGAAGATGTATTTCGAGAAGTCATTGTTATCTCTGATGATGATGACTCGGATTCTGACGAAGAGGAGAACGGACTGCCGTCTACCAATCGGGATCACAATGTGGAATATGTATCGAGTAGGGCACGCGCCGTGGAACTCTCAACAAGACCAATCGACTTTGCGGGTTCAGCTTCGCGGGGCACCGTACGAGAGCTGTCCGAGGACGAGGCCCCGTCAAGCTTCCGTTTTATCTCACAAGTACCCAGAAAAAACAAGGTCGATCGCCGGGGATTTAGCAGATACCAGGCCTGGGACCGTGCTATCAATCGCTACAGGAACTTTGCAAATGCCACTGACCAGGTTAAACCTTATGGCAGCTCAACTGACCAGCAGAGACTTTACTCCGTACGACAACCACCGCATGGTATTGAAGTAGGTACAGGATCTAGAGACCAGCCTATATCTTTTGTATACACTGCAGTGCCGTCCATGCACCATGTAAGTGCCGAAATCAAGCCAGCCCTTCTTCCGTGAGTTAGGCGCGTTCATGAAAAGATTGCCTCAAAAGGAGACAGGTCACAATTTACTGACTTCTCTTGTGCCATACAAGGTACAACCATCGCTTGGACTCCCCAATCAGAGAAATCCGGATGTTGTCCAATCATCTGATATTGTACCATCGAGGCGAGCGCCAGTTCCTCAAGATGGACACACCCCCTTCCGTCAATATGATTTGGCTGATGCGCCCATTCTTAATAACTCCCAAGGATTTCATGATGGTAATGAATTCCAAGTCGGACACCAGCCCAGAATACTGGCTCCTTCCCATAACAAGAATCGAGATATCCAGGATCGTGTTTTACCATCCATTGAAAATTCTTCATCACAGAACCGCCCAGATAGTGGCCTACGCGAAGGAATTTCGCGAGGCCTGCCAATTCGCTCAGTGACGCCACAGCGTCTTCCACGCCAGGACGGTTTTCATGATACTGGTGGGGACAATTCCCAATGTCCCAAGAGGCGGATAGCCTATTACGAACCTGTCAATGGGGATTCGCGGTCTGGGATTGCACCTGGTGTTGTTGAATCAGTCGTTTCAGATGTTCTCAAAGACACTCCCACCGGAGCACGATACGTCCCCTATGAGATTTCTCATCCAGAAAATCACTCTTCCCGGGCAGACTCTCAGCTACGTAGAAAATTTGTTGCGCCAACCGGCTTCCCTTTTGCAGAACATTGGTCACAGAAGCATCGGGATCCCCGTATTCATGCCGAACTTAGCTCTGAACTTGAAAGACATGTTGATGGACAAAGGGTCTATCCTGCTCACAGTCGACCTGCCAAGGTGCCGACAGGATCATATGCATTTCCGTTGACTTCAGCCCATGCCATTGCCGTGGATGATGGTTCTAGGCAATCAATGCAGGTCTCTTTCGATCCAAAGGCACCCCCCGTTTACCATGGAGACCAGAACCATAGTCGTTCAGGACCAATTGAATATTCACAAACACAAGTGCCGACATGGCAAAACAGAGATGATGAGCACTTTGCCAATATTTCTAATAGGAGGCACCTTTATGCTGATGATTTTGTCCGCCCCGTTGATCTATACGAACCGGAGCCCCTGGAATACACTATGCAACGCCCACGTGTTGCAGAAACTTCCTCTCATTCATCTAGGCTCCGATTTTACGATGGCAAGCATAGAGATGAGCTCATTGATGCTCGAACACCAGTGGCGTATCAAGATCGTCGACCGTTGGATCGTCGCGCAGAGCTTCCCCATGGGTATGCAACCTTTGAAGACCCGCATAGGCGACTAGGCAGCGACAGCATATTTGAATCATCATCGGCTCCCGGTCTTTATCATGAACGGCGGTACGGAAGGTCTTTGGATTTTGTACGGTATGATCACGACGCCAGGGCTCCGTTTCCTCAAAAGACAACCGACTTCCAGTTGCGTTCCTATATCTTCCTCTCTCATCTCACATTTAATTATCTTTTTCAATTGTGACTAATGATATTATAGGCCTGTGCACAGCAATGCCCAGATCTGGGAACGTCCTACCTACGTGAGGAGAGTCGAACACCCGGAGCCACCCCATCCCATCCCGGACAACAGACCTATCGTCATCATGGACTGAGGATATGGACCTTGTTGGATAGTACTGGGAGTCATCATATTGCTATCTATATTTGTTTTAGTTGAGAGCATGTCTAAGGAGGAGCCTGTTGTTGCATGATACCCAGCTGCACATCCTTTTGAATGAATTTTATGATCATTGTTGCTATCTCATTCTCAATTCCATTCAATCGTAATATGCGGGTTTTGTTGAGTTGCGAGATAGTATGCAGCTTCTGGAAGACATCAATGCTATTTTATGTCATGGGTATGTTGGAAATTGGCCTAAAGCAACAACGCATTGGACATGCTGAAGGGGCATGCATGGCAGAATTAAATGCGAGAAATGCAAGAACGAAATTAACAAATCCATAAATAAGCTCTGGAATCCTGAAATGTGACCGAATATGTATATTAATGCCGTCCTCACCCAAATTCTCACCAAAGCGGCGGTCCTGAGTAAACAAAAAGACGGTACAAATAAATTGACCAAATTAAACAGCCATAGTCTGACCATCAGCTTCGCCGCTGTTAACAGCCTTTCCTGTCTTCTTAATTGTTGCCAAAACGGTATCGTACGACACAGACGGTTCGGTAACGACGTCGGCGGTTTGGGAGTCCAGCTTGACATCGAAGGATTTGACACCTGTAAATTTCAAGAAAAATCGTTTAGCATCGGCCTATCACTGCATGACACAGGGGGGTGTATGGATTACGCGACATCCCACAGCATCATCTAACGTGTTGACAGGGGAGGTCGATATCGAGACAGGGTGATAAGCACAACTTACCCTCGAGCTTCTTCAGGACTCGCTCCACAGCACCGGAGCAGCCGCCACAGCTCATGGAGACGTTGAACTTGTATTGATGGTCCGACATGATGCTTGCCTTGTTTGGATACTTTGTTGAAAGAGTTGATGTCGCGGGGTTGTTGGAGATGTCTGCTTACTACGGGGAATCATGTGTTTCAAAATGATGTGATTTCCAATATAGGTATAGCGCCCTTGTGTTATACAAAGCCTTGGCATTCACTGGCTTGCCTTATCGGGAGAAAGAACAACATCAGTATCCGGGGATTACTATCTAGTCAGCGGGGATGACTATGTTCAATTTTCCTTGAATGATATGGTACAAATAGCATTAAATTGGATGATAGTTCGGCCTAAAAACCAGCTGCCCGTTTCTTCTTCCTCGTCTTTATGACGCCCTTCTTATTTGCCTCTCTTCCACCAAAGAGACCTCGCTCGACTTGAGTCATAGGAAGATCCTCACACTCGGCGGTGACTTGGCTACTCTGTGGCATTACCCGATGTAATCCTCCGCTTGTCGGCTGACTGTTTTGTCCGTAAATACCAGGAATGGCCGGCGAAACGGGAGGAGGTGCCGGAGGACTCATGGTTGTTCTCTGTGGTGTCTTATTCCGCAGCCTTCTTTTGCAGGTCACAGATCGTGATATCCGCTGGGATTCATCTTCTTCAGCTGAGAATACAGTTCTCTGCCAATCATAAGTAGCTGGGTCCATATCCGGTACCCAATGGGAAAGCATAGATTCCACGTTCTGAGACATGGAAGGTTGGCTTTTGAACGTTGTTAAAGAGGACAGAGTAGAGTAGATTGGCGCTCTGCTTATAGGCTGGTGGTCAGGGATGTCGCTGTTTGTAGCCCCCAGATTGCTTCGAGAGGTTGAACCGCCGCCATCTTTTTCAGAGGCTGGGACAGACGAATGTCGTGGCGTCACGGTCCCATGAGAGCCAAATCTAGTTTCCAGATTTGGTAATTCGGCATAATCTTGGTTATCAAGATGATCGTCATGTCCGCTATGGGGTGGTTTGCGAGTAATACTGATCCGGGCCAGTACTAGATCGGCCGCGAACTTCCTAATAATTCTCTCCTTTGCGATCCGTGTGCGTCCAGGTATATTATGTGGTAGATTTGAGAGCCAGATGCTTATCAGACGATCGTAGGTATATACTAGGTGAGGTTTTCCTTCGCTTTCGTTCGCAATTGGTAACTGCACCAATGACGAAATCGGCAGGATGGAGAGTCGATATTCACTCTGAGGATCTGATTCTCGCTGCTCGCAAAGCGAAACAATGTCCTCAATGGCTTGTGCACTCTTTTCAATGTCGTCCAACAAAGGACTGCCGCCAAGAACTTCAAGTCTAAGACGTGTCAGCTTCAGAACATACCAGGTTAAGATCAATTTCTAAACGTACAAAGTACTCGCAGCTTGGTCACCCAAGGCTGTATCGGAAACCCTGTCTACTAGAGCATTGACATTCTCCTTGAACAGTTCTTCCGAGTGCTGTGGGAATTCCCTTTCACTTAATCCGAGAACAAATCGACCCGTAGCAACAGCATAGACCGCCGTATAGTCAGTAGTCCATTGAGGAATTGCATGGGGCGATACTGTAGAGATCCCCGTATTCTGGACTTTGGTTGCATCCATATCAGATGCAGATTCATCCCAATCATCGACCACAAAATCGGTGCAGTAACGAACTGCCTGAGTTTTTCGTGCACTTTGTTGGCGTCTCTTTGCCCGCAATGCATCTCGCCCAAGAGGCTGTTCTTCAATGTCGCCAGAAATCGTGGACGCGGTGTACACTGATTCACAGACGGCAAGCCGCGAGTCCAGCAGAAAGAGCTTGAAAAGTCTTGCGCTAGGATCATAGTAACTTTTGCCAACTGATGCTGGCGAATGTGCAATTTGTTTAAATACAAGAGTGGAAAAATGTGCACTGTTCGTTGAAATTTGAGATTCTGGCGACACATCGACCGTAGAGGGCAAATCCAGGATAAATGGATCTGGAACAGGTACGGTGTTATTCATTCCTTCCTTAATTGAATTGGGGCAGTGGAGGCCCAGCACAAGGTTGTTAAGCCTTGAGTATAGAAAGAGGTAAGAATCTTATTAGCCAAGAAATGTCAGTAGGTATACAGGGCCTTTTTCATAGATATGCAAATTTCCATACCTTCATTGGTAAGCAACGTACTTAAACGCAGGGTCGTGTCTTCAGGATCCCTATAATGGCGCCAAGATAGACGAGGATTTAGAGACCCGATGTCACCTTCGCTGGCGAACTCGGTAATCTCAAGCCGAGATATTGTCGTCGTGGTGAGTACATAAACGTGAGATGCGTTTGACGGGCTTCTTTTGATGTCCAAGATCCATTCGGACTTTCTTTTCAGACCAAGTTCAATTGGAATGGACCAGATCTGATCGCCTTCCATCCGGTAAAGCACGGGACAACGTCGATCAGAAACAATGATGCTATTGACGTCCCCGGCCCATTCAATAACTCCCCACCCATCGTGTCGAGGTTGATCATCTAGATCAAGATTATCGTCATTATCAAGCCACGGCAATGAACCAGATTTCACGCATGTTGCAGCCCAATTGCTTTTATTCCGCCTGTGTCGACCAGACATTTCCCAGATACTCCAGTTTCCCTGTTGGTCCACAATCGCGAATTGTCTCTGATACCAGGGATTGAAGGTTACATCGGCGTGCGGGAAGCCACCTGTCTGTAAATTGGATATCTCAACCAACGGGTTCGCATCCAACCGGGAGTTATGAGCGTCACTCAAAAGTACGCCGTCACTATCGCAGCATATACGCCTCGGAACAGGATCTCTGTGGTACAAAGGCCGAAATATCGTGATTGAATCAGGGCATCGAGCGGCCATCCATGTTGCTTTCTCTTCGATTGTCCGCGCAAAGCAAATTTGACGAATTGGGACACCACCGACACGCCATTCCGTTGCGTCTGTTTCACCGATTGAAGGAACACGCATGAAGGTCGTTTGCTGTCTCAGTTCAAGAGTGTCTTCCTCCAACCTCCGAAACGAAATGGAGTTGCCACACTCCCCGGATGCAAACACTGCTATTGGCAAAACCCGACTGCCCGAATCATCGTTTTCGAGATCCACAGCACAGCCCAAGTCCAAGAGTGAAGATACTTGGGGGTCGCATATTTCGCTTGTGGTCGTGATAACGTGCGAAAAAGTCTCGTTGCTAACCAAGGACCAGCACGCCGCCAGCTCCGGGTGCACTCTCGGCAAGAAATTCTTATTCTCGACTAAAGAAGACCGAGGGGCAGTAAGGGGAGACACTACAGCCGCTTTGGTAGCTCCAGTATACAAAATTGAAGATGCTTGACCAGGGGTCAGTGAAAAAGTCTCTCTTTGCCAAATCACAAATGACTTACACTGATTTAGAGCACGAGAAAATGACCATGTCCGGGTCTCCGGGACATAAAAAGCTTTTCCCAAGTGCCCGTATTGGAGAGCACTCGTTGGATGTTCATCCATCAGGCTTTGCTTTACTCTTTATGATATGCTCAATATCTACCCAGGTAAGCATATCGATCATTGGCCGTTCCAATCAAATCACGTCAATGGAATTGGCTAGTAGAAATGATGCAGATGGCAGGTGTATTGCCAGAGATTTCTTGACATGGACACTCTGGATCAATGTCATTTGCAAGAGGCCGAATAAAGAGGTATACCAATTGAAGAAAATCAATGATGCGAAAAAAAAAAAAATGATGATCGTTACGGCACAACTCCATTCTGCCGATTAACTATTCACCGCCCAATGTGCCGCTTTGATTGGCCCCACCTTGTTTCTTCTGTTTCTTTTCGGAGCGATTGAATACTTAGAGACGCTTGGATTGACATACCTTTTTTCCGGCTTTAACAATCATTTTGAGTTGATAGTTTGCGAGTTACCCGTTTTTCGTTTCTTGGGCGGCTGTGCTGTCCATATATTTTCTGCGCGCATCCCCCGATCTCTTGTGGATAAACAATCAACAAAACCACAAGACGAAAACAAACTTACAACTATCGCTTGCAACATATCCCCGAATAGAACTCCATCATATACCAGAACACCGCGACTAAGATAAACCACGATGTCTTCCTCGTTCGACCCGTCTCTTTCGACAAGCGGCATGCGGCCACCCCTGACTACCGCGGACGCGCCCTCAATGGCAGACTCGCTTCCCAGTATAAACTTTGGATTTGAAGATCTACGTAACCGCATGGCTCATTTTAGCATGCAATTTGATGCGTTTATTGAGCGAGGCAGGAAGCAAGTCTTGGAGGAGAGGAATCAGTTCAGGCTCAATCTGGCAGAACTTCATGGTGAGTTGAAGGCAAATGAAACGAACTTACTATTCTGGAATTGAAGATTAATTGCTTGTTAAAATAGAGGACCAACGGATGAAACAGAAGGATATCGAAATATTGAATCTCAAGTCGCAAACGCACGAGCAAACACTTCAAAAAGAGGCTGCTGAAGCTGCTGAAATGCATGCCGCCATCTCCTCTATTACGTTAGAGCGCGATTCCCGTCTGGTCAAGCGGGATCGCTTAAGGCAGCAGATTGCGGAGACACAAAAGTCTATCAACCAGAGACTTGATGCACAAAAGGCCCATGCTCGAAATTTGGATGCTCAATCTCGCCTTAACGTTCCGGAACTCGACTTCTGGCAAGATTATCTGTGTCTTCGGATTGAAGGAGCGGGGAGGGAGGATCGGTTGAAATTCATTTATAGTCACTTGCTGGAAAAAGACTGGGAAGCAGAGGCTTGGTTTGAACTTGGGACAGCCAGTCGGGATTATGAAGTGTTCCACATGCGTCCCAAATTAGACAGGGAGGCCCTCGAACAAGAACTGGACATTCTCAACGAGGATCGTGATTTTGGCGCGTTCTTGAAAAGGATGCGCAAATTGTTTGTTGAGGCATTGAAATGAATGAAGCATTCGGTGCAAAACGATTTACGATTTATGTCCCACATGATACTACATGTATTTTTGTATAATACTATTAACTCTATATTGGAAATGACTGCGGTATTGGAATCATGATTATAATCGTTTCATTCAGCATGTTCCGTGGATGCAATTATCAAGGACACCATGCCTTAACCTCCGGTAGCTTCTCGGTAGAACGCTATGCTTCGATTTGCTCCCGCAGTAGCAAAGCCCTCAGACCTTCCGACTTTCGGAAGCCACTTGACACTCCAAACGGCCTTTTCAGTTTCGGAGTGCGTGGCAACACATGTTTTTGTATCGATCGACCAGACCTTAACCTTTCCATCAAATGACCTAGTTTTTCCCTTGTGTCAGCTCAAACCGTACTGCAGCAAAGAATGGCATCGAAAGCAACTTACCCGCTCAGGAGATATTCTCCTGTAGTGCTCCACGCAAGTGACAAGATCCACGCTGAATGACCGGTCAGGTTTGCGACTTGTTCCCCAGATGAAGTGTCAAACAGCACAATGACTTTGGAGTCACCGGCAGCGGCGAGGAGCTTTCCGGCAGGAGAGAAAGCAACGGTTCGTACGGGCTTCACAAGACCTGGGAGAGGCATCAGATACGCACTGTTATGGGGTTCGTCGACTTCACACAAAAAGCCCTTGCTTTATAGAGATGACATACCTGACAAGGAAAAAGGCATCCGACCGGTTTCAGTGCTGAAAATGTAAACGCTACCATTCTCATGTCCACTGGCGATGAGACGACCATCTGCAGACTATTTTGCGTCAATACCACCAGGAGTCAACCAAAACAAAACTAGAAGCTTTTATTGCACCCACCATATCTAAGCATGTACCAAAGCTGCCCTTAGTCTCGTAGTCCTGTATCTGTTCACCACTAACGTTCAAGTCCCAGACTTTGATGTGACCATCTTGACTGACACCAGCAAGGAACTGTCCATTCTCTGACAGAGCAACGGCCCAAACCTCACCAGAACCTGTAATTCCTGTTGTTCATCCGTCAGTCTCATAGGTAATCTTGTTTATTAGAAAGAAACTCATATTACCTGAACCCGCATCATTTTTGGACCAAGTTCCATCACGGCAAGCCCAGATCTGAAGCTCACCACCAAATCCCACACTGACGGCTCTCAAGCCGCGCCCGTCAGTCACGACGTGATGGCAGCCGACCTTATGAGCCCCCTCAATAGTCTGTGCCAAGGGAAAGTCTGGGTCCGTAGTGGAATGGACCTGAATGGAAGAAGCGCCCGAGGCGGACAAAATTTGTTTATCCGTTACAGCCAACGAAAAGATGTCAATTGGATGTACTGAAATGAATACCTTAGCACCATTGCATATAATCTGGGACGATCTAGGAAGATAGATACCATTGTCCGCGGAACCCCACGAGAGATATTGTTTTGACTGAGCAGTCATGTTAATCAACAGAGACAATTTGAATTATCTATCCCATATTCTGCCGATCTTACCATTGTTTAATCCCCCGTACCCTCGAGAAATGTGTGTTCTGTAAAAGATATTAAATAGGCGGCAGTTGTATGACTTGGTGGGACAAAAATCCTGGCCGCCGTCGGTGAGATCATCAATGGGCCCTTTCACATCTGGGGAACAGCCCACAACGAAGCCGACGACTGAGGGGGGAAACAACTACAAGAGATTATACGGATGCGATTGACGACCCAGATTCAGGTCTGGTGGTCATTGGACAAAATTCTAGGAAGAAATGGATATACAAAACAGAAACCGACAATATTTTCCCCCAATATAACCAGACGCCAGATGCCATGCCGCACATAACACACTCCCTTTCATATAAAGTACAATATCCGTAAGAGTCTCTCGTATTCTATTTATCGTCCGACTTCCTCGTCTAATGATTGCGCGTAAGAATCATGCCGTTTGGGTCTTACCCCATTGTTTCTTGATATCTATTGACCAAAGACCTCGTGGTTAGTTGTCACGCCGAGTGAAACATCCTATTCTTCCAGAGCAGAGTCATACCCGCTACACAGTGTGGGCACAGAACATGTGCGCGTTTCACCTGTCCACAACCCGAGCAGGTATTGAGATTCTTCACATCCTTCAAAGCCTTGCCAGCCATTTGCCGATGGCGTCTCTTCATGTGGGAGACCTTCTTCTTCGGTACGGCACGCAGAACAGAATCCCAGATATCAGAAAGCAGACCCGGAATTGTCAAGGACAGCCCAACAGGTCTGAAGAGGTTTTGGGTCAGAACAGAGGAGCTCTGAAGGAACCGAGACCATTGACCGGCGGTGGGCGAGAACGAAAGGAGTCGCGGAATCATCTGCGAAGACATGGTAGACGGGAGAATTCGTAGAGTCGTGATGAAATTATTGAAACAAATATATGAGGTATTCGCAGGACTGATCCAATCTTCAAATTCACTAGCAGTAATAATATCAAAGACCGACCAAAAAAGTTCCTGGTCTGGCTCGAGCCGGAGACCGGAGACACACTAGCCTGATATGGATTAGCGGCCCCCTGAGCCATTAAGGGGCCTCCTTCAGATCAAGACGAGGAGAGAACGAAGGGCGTTATTCAATCGCTACTTCCCTTTGCTGACTTTCTTTCTGGGACTTTCCTGGTGTAGACAGGAAGGAGTTCTTGGGTATTTTATCACTCGTTGGCTGAACCGTTGCGGACTCAACTCTTTCGTTTTATCTTCTAATTGCTTTTTGTTTTCGTTTACACCCACTCCCTACCACTCCAGCTCTCTTCACGATGGCCACGACTACTACCCCTTCGGTTCCCACCGCTACCGTCTTTCCTCGCAGCCATGTCGGTTTCGACAGTATCACTTCGCAGATCGAGCGGAAGCTGTTGAAGCGCGGTTTCCAGTTCAATGTGATGTGCGTTGGTATGTAGCCAGACTCTTTTAACACCCCGCTATCCATATTGATTATACGGATCCTGACTGACCGTGCGCTCTTTATTGTGAACAGGCCAGACCGGTCTTGGAAAATCGACCCTGATCAACACCATTTTCGCTTCCCATCTGATCGATTCCAAGGGTCGTCTTACTCCTGATGAACCCGTCTGTTCGACCACCGAAATCCAGGCGGCCTCTCACAGTATGTTCTGCTATGACATTGGTTCTATGCCAAGGGAGGTGAATTGCTAAGTCATTACTAGTTATTGAGGAGAACGGGGTCCGTCTCAGGTTGAATATCGTCGACACTCCTGGCTACGGTGACCAGGTCAACAACGACAGATGGTATTTCCCCAATCAATCTTTTTGGCCTATTGGTCCGTACGGATCGAACTAATGTCGCATTCAGTTGGGACCCGATTGTGAAGTACATCAAGGACCAGCATTCGGCATACCTCCGCAAGGAACTCACTGCCCAGCGTGACCGCTATATCCAAGATACCCGTATCCACTGCTGCTTGTTTTTTATCCAGCCCTCTGGCCATGCGTAGGTCATGACCCATATGTCTATCGTTAAGCGCATGCATTGACTGACCTTTTTTTGAATATTTGTAGACTCAAGCCCATTGACATCGTTGTCCTGAAGAAGTTGTCGGATGTCGTCAATGTTGTTCCCGTGATCGCCAAGTCCGATTCTCTCACTCTCGAGGAACGCCAGGTGTTCAAGGAGAGAATCAAGGAGGAATTTGCGTTCCACAACCTGAAAATGTACCCCTACGATAATGACGAGCTTGACGACGAGGAACGTGCTATGAATGTCCAGATCAAGGTACGAGCTCTACCAGTTGGCGGCTTTGCTTTCTTTTGTCTAACGGGATAACTTTGCAGGACATCATTCCCTTTGCTGTTGTCGGGAGCGAGAAGAACATTGTCGTCAACGGCCAGCAAGTTCGCGGCCGTCAGAACCGCTGGGGTGTCATCAACGTCGAGGACGAGAACCACTGCGAATTCGTTTATCTGCGGAACTTTCTGACCCGCACCCACCTGCAGGACCTAGTCGAGACCACCAGCCAGATACACTACGAGACTTTCCGTGCCAAGCAACTTTTGGCTCTGAAGGAGAGCAGCGCAGCAGGCGGTCACAGCGCTACTAGTCGGCCTATCAGTCCCTCTGCTGACCGGGAGCTCAGCCGTAACTCGCAACGGGCTACTATGAACGGTTACTAGGCCTCACAGAAGCTGTCGGCTTGGGGCACATGAACTTTTACTTTTCCCGCTGTTTGGTGTAGCGAGCATCTTTATACCAATCATTGCCACATGAATTATCGCAGACAGACCATAGGGCAGTTCCGAGGGTCCATCTTTTCCCTTTTTCTTCCCTCCCCATTTCCTTTTTTTACCTGCAAGCTGTTACTGATATCCATTTTAACTTTTTCATGTTCTATATCATCACCTTTCCTTTTTGAACTGACCAGGTTTGATTTCCTAAATAGCTGTTCTTTTCTTGTTCGCAAGAGCGGGGCCGACACTACAATGTTAATGCGAAGTGTCGATTACATGTACTTAATTTCATTAATTTCTATTGATGAGGAAAATATGTTATATTCTGTCTAATGCTGTCTTTGGATGCCGAACATAATATGTACCGCATAAAGGATTGAGTAAAGGAATCATTTACTCATTGCTGCGTGCCAAATTTACCACCGTCAACGATCCAATCTCGTAATTCGACATATGCCCTTTCCAATTCATCATTGATGACAATCTTATCGTGCGCTCCGGGTTGTTTGGAGAATTCAAGCTCATTCTTTGCCTGAGTAAGACGCTTATTTAGACTCTCCTCTGTCTCAGTTCCTCGGCCACGCAATCTCTTCTCAAGCTCTTCGAGCGATGGGGGCGAGAGGAACATGAACCGGGCGTTGAGGTCAGTGAGCTTGACTTGCTTCACGCCCTCCATCTCAATGTCAAGGATGCATATCCTTTCCTTCTCCGCGATGTCCTTCACGGCTTGAACGCTTGTGCCGTAATAGTTTCCTCCGAACTGCGCGTGTTCAATGAAACCGTTCTTGCTCACAAGATCCAGGAAGTCCTCCTTGGTGGAGAAGTAGTATTCGCGTCCATGTTGTTCGCCTGGCCGAGGGGCACGAGTGGTATCTAACAAGCGGAGGGAATGAGTGACTTGGTTTGAAGCAAATAATTGGATGAGGGGCATACGCGAAATCGAGAATCCAAAGGTGTCAGGGATATCAGCGAAAAGCCTCTTGAGAAGGGTGGACTTTCCAGTTCCAGAGGGGCCCGATACCACTACCGGACGGAACTTATACACTATATAAATGAGTTAGTCTATTGCTGTAGGAGTCATGATAGTTTTGTACCAGCACTAGTCGTCATTGTCGAGGTTGAGTAGCGAGCAAATGTAGTTAGTCGTCTAGTTAAATATAAAAGGCGAGTGCGAGATCCCAGCAAATAATTCATCGACCGAAGAGAGACTCAGCAAAAATGTTCAGGAACAAACTTCATGAATCCATTTTCGGTATCGCGGCAGAACCCAAGGCGGTGACTCCACAAATACCGTAGTTACTATGTTCCCTATAGGACCTGTGACTATAATTGGGATGCTCGAATGATTTCGACAACAGCCTATCATACAATGCATAAATCAAGGATGATGGATTCCGTCAAGTCAAAGATAAACAGACAAGAAAAGAAGAAGAAAACCTCGGAACTAATGGATACAAAAGCATGCCTTTATACATGATCATATCAATTTAAGCTTTTGACTGTCCTTGATTCCCGCCTTTTGCTGCGCTATCATTCCCGGCTTGCGATTCCTGCTCGAGGAAATTGGACCAGAGTTCCGCCAGCGACTCCTTGTGGCTAGTACCGTTGTCCATGAACTCCGTGGCCAACGTCGGCGTGCTAGGCGTACGAATGGGAGTGCCGGGGACTCGAAGCTTGCTAGAGGTATTCGATGTCCCTGGGCGCGCAAGGCCTGCTTGTTCGCGTTGCTCTATTCACAGTTACTATTAACAGTAAAAGGGGAGGGTGTTGACATTGGGCTTACCATCTGTCCAACCAAGGAGTGCTGCAATAAGCTGCAATATCTGGAATTTCTTAGGGTCTGATCTGTCTAGTGCAAGAAAGTGCAGTAAATGGTTGGTAACAATATGTCTAGATGATCTCAGTTAGCAAGATCCGATAGATTTAAAGCTGGGAAACAGTACCTATCAACATTATCCTCTGGCTTTCCCTTCTTAAGAAACCGCAAAGCTTTTGTCAAATGATCATTCAAAGTGACAGCTTCGTGTCTGAGCTTGCCAATGAGAAGGTTCTTTTCTTTGACTTCTTTCTCGAATGGGCGCACCCGCTCCAATTCTTCTTGGGCGGTTAGGAAAGACTTTTCGGCTTCAGATGCTCTGTTGTCTGCATCACGAAAAGATTGCCGTAGTTCTTCCAGCTGGGCATCAGAGCTCTCAACGAGTTCACGAAGCTCTTGCTTTCGGGCTATAGAGTATCACGATTTGTTAGTTATTCCCGAGCGATAGACTGTCAACAATGAGAACCTACCCGTTTGGATTTCTTGCAAGGCCCGCTGTAAGCCATCAACAGTCGACGATTGGTTATCACGTTCGGATGCGGCCTTCTCATAGGCGTCTTTGAGGTTGGCCAGCTGTTCTTCGAGGTCGATAACCTTCTCCCCCAAGTTTTCTCTAATCGATCGTTCTTCCATAGCAAGAACTTCCCAGTTATGCATGGCCTCCTTGGCCTGTTCGAATTCAGCTTGAAGATATGATTCCTGTTCGATTAGTTCATCTCTCTCTTTTGACCAGTTTTGCTGGGACAGATTTGTTCGATCTCGCAGGGTGGATATCTCTTTGGCCTTTTCTTCGTTTTCTTTGGCGATATCAGCGAGTTCCGAGGATTTGGAATCCAATTCAGTTGTGAGATTGGAGTTCTGCTCCTCGAGATCTTCAATTTGTGACCTTGCCTGGGCGATTTCTTCCTAAGCGAAAAGCCAGAAGAAGAGAGGGTTAGTTCAAATATCATCAGTAGCACCACCACCAAATGGTCAGAACATACAGCATCCTCCTTGAGTCTTTCCCCTAGTTGGGCCTTGATCGTATTGACCCTCTCCAGTAACTTCTGGTATTGCGTTTCTGCCTGTCCCTTCTTACTTTCGGCATCATCTACCCTTTGTTGTAGTGCTTCCATGTCTGCCCGATGCTTGGATTGTATTTCCTCCAGAGACTTGCGCATACCGGTCACCTCTGCCCGCAATGAATCGCGATCTCGCACAAGCGCATCAAAACGGTCTTTGGATTGTGCATCAAGCACCGGTGGTTCAGCGTCGCTTTTGGCCTGCTGCTGGGTATCATTTTTGGTCGTAGCGGCAGACTCTCCATCGGAGCCATCGTCTCTATCGTTTTCGTTGCTCGCAGTCTTTTCGGTCGCTATGTTGTTGACAAAATTCCCGTTTATCGAATTAGCTGGCGTACCCTGTGACTTTCCCAAGTTTTAGTATAATCCTCCCACCATCTATGGCTTTCAATGGAACTACCCACATTCGACGCCGGTGCCTCGTCATCAGATTGTCTTTCTGTATTCTCTTCTAGGTGTCCATTTTCTGTATTCTGGTCTTCTGCTTCTTCCTTTGCCTTCGCAGCAGCTTTGTTCTTTCTGTTCTTCTTCGACTTCGCGCCTGTTTCCGCCTCGGGTTAATGACAATGCTAGCCGGGGAGATGTACAAAACATCAAGGAGTTACCATACCTTCAGGCATGTTTGTTTTCTTTCCTTTCTGTTTTTTCTTCTTGCCCTTTTCACACTCGGTCGAGAAAGATATTGGGTCGGGTTTCGGATTCGGGAACGGCTCCTGTTGTCATGGGCGGGCGATGGTTACGAAATACTCTCCCGCCTGTCAACAACATCACTAGCGTGGCTGGTTGCTTCCCGTCCGCATTCTCCATATTGAAAAACTATGGCAGAAATTCAGTTGGGCTATGATTCAGGCCGCGTTCTCCTTACGCGGATTTTTTGTTATTAAAATTCCAGGCCCATTGGACTAAGAGCCAACGTTCATGTCCATGACTTTATTAAGTTTTCTCATCAACTATAAGATGATACTGATCCTAGAGATATCCCACTCCTGATATACTAACCGCCTTCCTATCTCTTTTCCTGAGTTATAACAATGATGATGCTTTTGGTATGAATTGTAAATCGAAATTACATAAAGTCGTCAAGGAAATCGGGATCGCGATCATGATTGCAACTGGCCTCCATGTTCTCCTCAGTCATCAGGTCATCGTACGCATGGTCCTTTTGCCACTTTAATTGCTCGTGTTCCCTCCTCTCCTGCTTTTCCCTGGCTTTTTGTTCTTCTCTGTCTTTGCGCTCCTCTTTCCGTTTTATTTTCATGTATTCTTCCTTCTCGGCGCGGAGGTCGGGGAACTTTTCGACGCGGGTCTTGTTGAGTCGATTGACGATCGCATTTTCTCGTTCCTTGACGAAAACCTTACGAACCCGCTTAGGGTTGTGGAAAGATACCTGACCGCTTTCCATGGATCCGTCTTTATAGAGGTTCGCCCATGGTGTATAGATGATGGTGATGTTATCCTTTTTGTTTCCTGTTCAGTTTACTCAAGTTAATCTGGTAGTGTTCGAGAAAGAAAGGCTGCGCTAAGTGGTTATGGATAACGGACCCTCGATAGAATTCGCTTTTGTCAGTTGTGCGCAGTCATCCACAAGTTTCTGGGGAATGTTATCCCAAGTTTCACCGTCGCGAAGGCGTAGATAAATGTGAGCGCTAGACAAGTTATCGACATGGAACTGTGCGATAGCAATCAGTGGCATGTAATTAAGCGTAGAGAGAGCGAAACGAACCCTGTGGGAATAAGAGACAGCAGTCAATTGACGAGTTCATAGATAGGGGAAATTTGGGACTATGCTATATATTTACCAGACGTCCTTATCCAGCCCATGCTTTATCAAATCCTCATCTATGACAAGTGAACAAAGCAGGTCAGATCTCTTTGAGCTTGGTTGCGAAGCTGGAGAGAAAATGAAAAAATGGTCGGTCCATACTTTCGTACTTGTCTTTGCCGACGTATATGAAAGCGGAGGGATGAACCACCTTGGAAGTAAAATAGTATACCATTTTGCTGGCGCTCTTCCGTGGTGCACTTTGTTGTTGTTTGTTGTGTTACCAGGGGGAGGGGAAATGAAGAGATATGGCAATTCTTTATCGATATGCACAATCTCGCGGGAGGGGCAGATTTCGCGGGATCTTGATTAGTCATACCAGCTAAAGGATAACTCGTTAACTGCATCAATGGAATTAATCACTATGAAAGAACTATCAAAGTTCTGATACGACTCCAAACCGAGAGGTATTATCATTGCTCTGTCCGGCTGGGACCCGCGATCATATCCATGCATATATTAATTCGCGTAGAATGCGCTCATGTAAATATACTCTTGATTTCGAGCCAACCGTTCCTCTTCCTTCCCATATCAGCAGCTCTTAATAGACAAATAATGCCTATCTCTCGATGATTGGTCTGGACTGCCTCGTAGTGATAGTAACATAGCGCCGTCTCTCCCGACTATCGCACTTCCTCGTCTTACCAATCATTATCATGAAAAGCACTGCCTTCAAAGTCAGGGACTATGTATTACGACTCGTACTCAGTGAGGGCACTCATCCGAAGAACTTGCTGATCTCGGCACTTTCAACTAACGAATGTGTCTAGAAGCTTTCTAGTTGTGTTAACCAAAAATACTCCACTGATATGCATCGGATGCAATGCGCACGTACATGGACATAAGTACTTCTTGATACCCGGGTTCGGAGTACGTACTTTGTAGTACTAATCCAATAGCAGAGCCCATGATTCATGATAAAGAATCGCGACCATTAACAGTGGCCGGAGAGGTTTCCAGATATAGTCAAGAAGCAAGGGTGAATGGCTGAAATATTAACCTACACGGCACTAATCCCGAACCAGACTGCCGTTACCGCGCCTAACCGTAGTAGGCAAGCAATAAACTTCAGACCGTTTGTTTCATCTGACGCGCCGGTTTCTTTTTCCCTGGTTTTTTTTTTTTGTCTCTTTCCCAAACGGTCCACATCCGTCAGAATCCATGGGCCGCGGTTCCGAAACGCCAATCAGGGGTAACTTCTTTCCTGATCTTTTCTTTATGCAGACAAAACCGTTATGCCAAGCGCCCAGGGCTGCCGTAACGGGAGAGCCCGTTTGTTTCCAGAACTCCACCTGCCACATGGGCTACGAAAATAAATACACGGTCATGACTATAATTATTCATGATGAAGAAGAATATTGTAGTCATTGTGCATAGTACAGTTGTATCTGAGAATGAAGAAACAAAATAAGCTATCAATCAGAAATTAATCTTAAGACAAAAGCACATGATAAACTCTCGGAGAAAAAAAAAGTTTATCAAAAAAGGTTTTCCCCGGAGTGTTTCTCGGAAATTTCCCCTTCGGCTCCTGTTCTGTATCCTGACTGCTATTCTTTATATGAGGGTTCTGGATAATGAACGGAGTACCACTGCTCAGTATTAATATACTACTATTGAATTAAGAAATGATTAGCTCTGTTCAGGTTATGGCGTACAGCGGACAACGTCACTGCATTAGACTCGATCCACGACTTGTTATTTTTTCCCTCCCCCCTGCTCCACACCTTTCCATATTAATTTACAGAAAAGGTTAACAAAAAAAAAAAAAAAAAAAAAAAAAGTAGCCGAACGTTGACAGAGTTTCCGATGGCATGATTGCCCTTTTTAAAGAGAACAACGCCCCGTTTTTTTTGTTCTCTTGTTTCTTTTCTTTCCATTTCTCTGCCTCTCGTATCCCACGCCTTTTATTTCTCTCTTCCATTTTCTCAATTACGTACTTTGCGACCAAAGACCAAAAGGAAAAAAAACCCCAGAAGAAGAATACACATACACCCATATATATATATATATATGCCAGAATGGGCTCAACATCACCGGAAGTTCGCAAAGCTCTTGAGATTGCCCGCGATAGCGCAGACGGTCATATTGAACCAAAAACCAACGAGGTGCTCGAAACAGCCATTGCCGATTTAAGACGCAAACTTGAAGCTCAACCGGACAGTTATGTGCTCTCAGGTGACGAGTTTGCTCTATTCAATTTCTACCGACGGTCCAAATTCAACGACTCGCCAGTCGCCCAGAAAATCGCTCAAAAAGCCACAGAACGGTTTTGGAACAATTATCGTCAAACCTCGAAAACATAACCTATTGGATACTTATATGGATAATGGTTTAAATTTTTCTCAGGCTTATGATGGTTTTTCTTTTCTCTTTCCTTTTTTTTTTTTTCGTTCACTCTCTTTTTTCCTTTACGGAACCGCACGCCCCAACTTTCTCCGCCGCGCTGCAAAACAATCCGACTAGCCTTGTGTACTGTAGCGGCGTGCGAATTCTGAAATGTACGGGCTGTGGAAAAAAGAAAAGGAGGACTATATGTGCTATCCAAGGAGATTCAACTCGGAAAACATACCAGCCATTCAGTGGTGTTCTCATGTCGGGGGGCTGTCAACGACGCACAGAAAACACATATAAGAATATCAACATAATGTTGACTGTTAGTTACCTGCCACATCAACCACCGCCATCGCACCTGAAAGGAGAACGGAGAGGGCGAAGGGAAAGAAAGAGGAGAGAAAAAAAAAAAAAAAAAAAAAAAAAATCCAGACCTGGAGAGGACACAATTATTGCATTGCAGCAGGAGTTTTTTGGTCGAACTGATTGGTTGTTTTCGTTTATCATTTATTTCGATTCTTTGTTGCGCGCTTTCCCACGTTTCATACTCCCTTCTTCGCTGGCCGACTACGTGTACAGATGGGAATCATTGGAGTCGTGAGCGCAAGTGGTATGCAGCAGCGCTGCATGAGTTGAATGCATTTGATTGCATTGGGTTGTTTTCCATATGAAGCATATATTATATACTGTATATGAATAGTAAAGAATAATATAGTCGCCCTTATTGGTTTTCATTTTGTCCTGTTATTATGTTGAATACTGCGAAACCCCTAGAATATGAGTTACTTCATTTTCTCCAATTTCCCTGTCTTGAAGACTCATTCCTTGGGATTGTTCATAGTACAGCATCCACATCGGTATGTGTTGGATGACAGCAAGAAGGGTCCATCTGCAGCCGCCCGTCGGGTTCCGCGGTTCCATCTAAGATGCTAAAGCCCAGTATGATGACTAAGAAAGGTATCAAAGTACAGTATTAAACGCTCTGCATCTACCCTATTCTAGCAGGTCGCAAAATAACAGGAGAGAGAGAAAGAAATCGAATTATGCCACCAATTCCGAGCTCCTCGAAACTCTGTTCTTCTCCCTCGTTCAGTAGAAGATTGACAACAGTCATGATGCAGTATCCAGACGCCTGCGGTTAAACATTAGTCAAACACGAAAACGCGTCGCCTCTAATGCCAGCCTTCAAATGGTCAGGAACGCGATGGACGAATAAAGACCAAACACGAACTGCTTCTCAACTAGCCACTTTTTGGCCAAGAGTACTATATGTCTGCGAGGACATCAGAGATGGCTACAATCACCACAAGTCATACTGAGCGAACAAACACCAACTGGCAAAGAGAGGACTCTGTGTGCAAGAAATGCTAGTCCCTTATAGACCACGTATCCCTATTGGTCAACCTCAACACGGGAGTTGGGGTTACCACATAGTGCAAAAACCAGGATATCATTGAATATTGGTATACTTTGCAAAACACTAAGATGTGGCCCCAATGACACCGCACATACAGGCCCACATAACCTTGCCAGGAGGGATCTAGCATACATCTCATGGGTGCCCTTGCATGAGTGGATGTAGGTGAAATTCGCGGCGTTTTGAGCGTTGATGGTGTCCCCAATTACAATTTGTCCTCTTCCAAATAATTTGTTAGTAACACTGTTGGGATGGCAATTAGGCGACCTTCTTAACAAGTGGACCAGCAGAATTGAGCGCTGAGGGAGCGACTTCCGAATCAACAAATACACATGTTACTATAGCGCTGACTGTAAAGCAACGTCTCGCTGATTTGCAACAGCGCCAGTGGTTTCGGATAGTATCTGAGATCCTTCAACTCCGAGAAGGACGTGAAGAACGCAACATGCCAGGCATATGCAAAGATGATATTCGCGATTGCCAGGAAGATTTCGTGCCGGATGTAGAGGGGAAGGGGGGGAGAGAGGGTAACCGTGAAAAAGAGGGGTGTGATTTAGTGTCAATTGCGACTATGCTGATAAAATTGACCGGTGAAAGATCTCAGGCCGGTGAGAGAATATTAGGGCAAATGAGATAACCAGGCCAGTAAGCGAAAACGCAACTGCACACGCAGAATGATCAAGCAAAACGTTCCGAAAATGCCAGGATATGACTGCCCATGCCGAAGATGAAAAAGGTAAGCCGTGACATGCCCATGATCTTGCACCCAGCATCTCCCAAAAGTATCTAGCCGGCGTCGGCCATGGTATGAATATGCACAAGCCAACATTTCACCTGGCCAATGATGAGTCCAGTGTACGTCGTAAGGATACCAATTCCAATGATAACAAAGACTCCTCTGACAATTACTAGCAAAGGCTCGTTGCTTGGAACAAGGAAATCATTCTATGGTTGAATTTCAAGCGTTGCAAGTGCTCTGAAAAGTGAATCACTAGAGATGTAGTTTCTGCAATCATGACTAGTAGAAATCGGATTTACTCGCCCCAACTATGTAACTTTGTTTAGCAGAGAAGGTTCCATCCCAGTGTTAAGACTTAAACTTAATTGACAATGAATTCAAGATGTATGCTGTAAGATTCATAAGATTCACCGCCAGGTCATGATTTTGTATTTCACAGCAGCGCCATTTTCACTTCCAAAGGGATTCTGCGTATTTTCTGACAAGTAAATTTCTCGACTAGGCTTCGACTCAAATGTCGAATGCAATGTCTTAGCCATTGTGGATATAGCAGTGTTTACAAAAGCAGAGGGAGCTAATTTGGGGGGACGGAAGACAGAAGAGATATGTTCTGGATGCTTATTATCAATGGACCTGTTGTATGTTCGTAATGGCGATGAAGGAAGCGAGGCAAGGGGCAAGAAAAAGTCATAGGGGAGGTGGCCCGGGCAATCACACTTGTCTGGAGGAATAACATCGACTGCCCCAGAAGCGGGTAGACTCCTTGTCTTGTTCTCCAATTCCTTGCAGTCAGGCCAAACTCTACAAAACCCCAAGAAAATTAGACAAACATGGAATAAACGAAACTGGAGATAATACAAGTTGGATTATTTATACAGAGATCATTCTATAGCACATCTATTTGTTTGCTGGGGATTCAGGGTTAATTCCTTTGGGCGACTCTGGGGTTGTCTCTTGGGAAACTGCCGCTTTAGGGCCTGCGATGCTCAGTTGCACATCAGGTTCCAACATGTCCGCCGGGGGTTCTGGATATGTTAGCCGATTATTCAGACAAGGACAATAGAGAATACTCACCAGTTCTGGAGAATGTCTTTCGCTCAGCAATCTCGACATCCTTGACCTTACCGCCTTCGACATCGTTTCTAGACATGTCAAGGAAAGTCTTGGGAAGACCCATTGAAGAAAGAAAGTGGACTGATTCCTTAAATTCAACGTCCTTTCGGCGAGAATCCCACTTCAGCTCTTCACCCATCACATCAATCACATTGGGAAGCGATTCGAGGGCTGCCTCGGCGTTCAGGAATGCCAAGCGAGTCCGACGAGCAAGAACGTCAACGGCGGTCTGAGCATATTCATGGCGGACGGCGTAGCGGATTTCGCCGTCAATGAAGGGATACAATGCGGAAATGCGCTTGCCCCGAACGGGGAAACGGTTCTCAGTAGGGGATGACAGGGCCGCAACTTGCCAAGCACGGTCACCGTAGGACTCTGTGAGATGCTTGGCCACGTCGGTTTCAAGTCCGAAGTGTTGAATCAGGTTGATGAAGAGAGTCTTGGAGAAACCGTGTGCACCAATAAGACGGACCTGGTGGGTTTGGCAAGATCCATCGAGAACCGCACCGTCCGAAACGAGGCCACTGCCTCCAACACCACTGATATCAGGAACATCTGACATGTGACGGGGTTTGAGGCCGAACACATCGATCGCTTCATCTACCGCTTCTTCGGCCATCTGACGGTAAGTAGTCCACTTTCCACCAGCACAGGTCAACAGACCTGAGGGAGAGACAGTGATGAGATGGTTACGAACTAATGCTTCCGAGCTCTTCACCTTGGGGTCGCGAACCAAGGGACGAATTCCGGACCATGCGGCGAGGACATCGCTCCGCTCAACATTGATATCAGGAGCCAAGTATCCACGGATCTCGTTGAGAATCCAGTTGATATCATGTTCCGATGGTTCAGGATGAGGTGTGATCTCTGTGGGTTGGTCGGTCGTACCGGCAATGGTATTTCCTTGCCAGGGAAGGAAGAAGATAACACGACCATCCGATGTAGACGGGTCAATCAAACCCATATCAGCAGGGCTGTAGTATCCAGGAAGGATGACGTGGACACCAGAGCTGGGAGCCACAATCTCCTTGATACCAGGCTCGTCCATGTTTCTGATGGAATCACTGAAGGGGCCAGTTGCGTTTATGATGCCCTTGGCCCTAACGGTGAATTCTTCAGCCTCTGGGCCACTCTTTCCGGGAATGACATCTTTGACGCGAGCACCATTCAATTTACCAGACGCGTCCTTGGTCAAACCAGTGACCTGCATGTGGTTGACAACAGTACTACCGTACAGCGCAGCCGTCATGGCGAGAGAGACGTTCATGCGTGAATCATTGTGAGCACCATCTATGCGACGAACATATTAGTAACTTGGTAGACATTAAGAAAAACCAGACTGAGTGCATACCGTAGTAGACCATGGCACCAATCGCACTGTCTCTTCTCAACATGGGAAATGCATCAATCGCTTTACTCTTGGTGAGGAAGTAAGAGCTTTCAATACCTTCCGAACCGGCCAGGTAGTCATAGAATTTGGTACCGGCCCAGAAATACGGTGCTTGCCACCACTTTTGCACGGGGACCATAATCGGGAGCCAATTCGAAAGGTGGGGAGCGGTGTTCAAGAAGTATTTCCGTTCTCTTAAGGCCTCCTTAACGAGTTTGTATCTGTATGACAGGAAATGCAAGTATCAGCATCTTTTTCCCTTTCAAAAAGGTGCTGTAAAGACAGACTACTCACTGGTTATAATCCAATTCCCAAACAGCCTTTTCTAGATAACGGACACCACCGTGCACAAGTTTTGTACTCTTGCTACTGGTACCGGCACTGAAGTCATCTCTTTCGACAATGGCCACCTTCAATCCTCGAGTTACAGCATCGAGAGCAATACCGGATCCTGTGGCACCACCACCGATGACAAGGAGGTCGTAATCGTTATCATTGCTCGAATGGCGCTTAAGTTCTTCAATCTGCTCCAAGCGGGACTTGATCACAGGGAAACTAGGCGGAATTAGTTTTCCTTCACGGTAACCCGGCGGCGGCACTGCGGGAGCTTCCAATCCAGGAATATTGCGAGGGCGATAGGAAATGTATAGAACACCAGCACCTGCTGCCGCAGCAGCCGAGGTGTAAAGGAGGGGTTTCACGAGTCTGCGAGAAAAGCGCGAAGTCATGGTGAATCTGGCCTTGGGAGGGGTTTCTGGAGAGTCAATGGACTCAATTCAGCGATAGGACTATTCTTTTTTACAGCACGTCAATGTTTGTTTCGGAGGAAAGTTTAAGGACAGTGACGGAGGCCACGGTATCCTGAATTGACCTGCAGTCTTGGTTGAGTGGGGAGGGTGGGAAAAGAATAGACGTGTCAAGTCGAGAGGAGCAACCGGTGCAAATCAATGAGGTGGGTTGCAATTTGTGTAGAGCAAATAAGCGAGGAAGGAGGAAGGAGGGAAAAGATAATAGCGGAAGTAGGAAGGGGGTTGGTGGAGGGAAGGAGAGAAGGAAGGGTGTTGGGAGTGAATGACCCAGGAATCGAGGGAGGATTAGCTGTACAGTTTGAGAATACTAACTAGTACAGCAAGCAACACGGCAGGAAGTACAGTAAGTATTATTATACGTAGGGTGGGAGAATAGAAGGAAAAAAGAAAAAACAGGTTCCAGTAGATCTTTTCTTCTTTTTCCATTCCATCCTGACTTCTTCTTCGTATTCTTCCTTGGCCAGGTACATTCTCCGTAACAACAGCCTGCCCGGTAATATTGGACTTCCCTGTTGGGATTGTCCATAGCGTCATCGGGGACTCCATTGGGGGCGGGTCACCATGACGGTATCGCTTGCGGAATCCCACCAATCAGGGCCTCGGCAGCCCCCGGCGTGGGCGCTGGAGGGCCCTCCAGATGGTCGGACATGGCTCCCGAACTCCGGAGCTGGGCCGCCATGTGACACGCAGAGATTTTCTGGTCAGCTCAGTCTGGGCAGGCGGTGAGTTTAATTCGCATCCCGTGGATGGTCACATGAACAGTAGACGAGGTCACCTGTACCATTCTTTCCCCCCAACCTATTTAAAGATAGTCCCTTTTTTGTCTTGCGGTATGTATCGAGCATATCTAGCCTCGTAAGAGTATGTACTACAACTCCATAGCGCTGCAATACTCTGCATGATATAGCTATTTTTTTTTTCCTTCTCACTTTGTACAATCTATCGAGATGTTAAGTTCACTATTATTCTACTTTTACGAGTACTCTACTGAGGTCTTCCAGTTGTCTGGCTCGGCCCACCAGTTGCGGATACATGGCGTAATGTGTATTCGCCGATAACAAACATTATTATCATTATTCTCCTTCATAAGCTATGAAGACTGACAATGCCAAGGCCCACTGCCAATTGCAATCCGGATTCAGCGGATGACGAGGAAATGCAGTCATAACCCACTGAACACTTGTTTTTTCCTATCTAAATTTGTCCCAAGTTAATAATCATGTAGAATGATAATAATGCACTGTCTGGCTTGTCGCCGCAATAAATCAACTTTGGATTTCTGCTCTTAGAATTATTACCGTTAATGATAACAAATGGAGAATTTCTTCTAGAAACCCCTGACCCCTAAATGGACTGGTGATCTAGAATCTCTCCTGGGCCACAGCACAAAAAAGAAAAATATCACCTGAACATCTCAATCTGGGCGGTGGGGTAGATCGCCGTCACGTGGTGTACATCAGTCTCCGAACTTCGGTCGATGAAACGAGCATTGGGCACGAAGAAGCAGTTTTATCTGCCATAGTAACCCTTTTATCTAATTGAATGCATTGATGTTATTGATAGATAAATGCAGAAAGTTCTGGACAAAATAGCCCTAACGATATTGTACTTAAGCCCTGATCGTTCATTGCCCACTGTTGCCTGTACTGTCACCAAGGCACTGGATAGGCCCTGATTGGTTATGAGTTTGGTCTTTGATATGGACAGTAAAGAATCGAACTTTCCTTGCTTATCTATACCTCTTTAGTACTTTGACTAGGCACCCAGTCGGCTATCACAATTCATACCAAGATATGTTGGAGCTGTTTGCTCGCTGATTGCGTATACATAGTCGAGATATAGGGAACGTTGGCACTGCAAAGGGTTTAATAGGTCTGACGGGCTGTTTGAATGCAAATTGCCGCAGGCTCCATAATCTTCGATTCAAGGTGAAAAAAAAAAAATACATCACCTCAAGATATGTATAGGCTTCGAGAGCGGAATCCAGTTCTGCCAGAGATCCGGGGTTGCGGAAGAATTCCGAGTGCGGAATCTCATCGGCTGTTACAGCTACAGTTACACCACCCATGGCAGCGAATGAGAGAATGGACATTTGCTCGCCTACCGCTGGGGAAGCCAATTTTGTCCCTGGCTAGTCATCATGCGGGGAATTGATCCAATGCCTCTACTCTCCGGGTGAGCTTCGAGGGGACGGAAATGTTCCTCTCGTAGAGAACAAGCGAAAATGCAGACCACCCACTGGTGCTCTATAAGGGAACGGCCGATGCCACTGTGTGTTAAAGACAAAATGCCATCTATCCCAGAACACTCACTTGACGAAATAAAACACCATGGCGATAGCGGCCGCTCTATCCTCTTTGTTGTCCAATATCAGTCAGTCCCCCCTGCAATCATCGGGACTAGCTATCGCTCTCGTTCCTGTTCTCTATGTCATCTTCAATGAGTTCGTCCGCGCATCTGCCCGTGTCAAAGGAATAGAAGGCCCCCGTGGCTTGCCCTTGATTGGCAACCTTGTCCAGATCCGCAAAAATGCTGCCGAGCAATACCGTATTTGGTCTAAAACCTACGGTCCTGTCTATCAGATCCAGCTGGGAAATGTTCCCGTTCTTGTTATAAACTCAGCTGCCGCTGCCAAGGTAATTTTTGGGCAGAATGCACAAGCACTCAGTTCAAGGCCCGAGTTTTATACGTTCCACAAAGTGAGCCTCCCATCCCTCGTTCTCGTCCTTCATGTTTTGTATCATTAGATCTGGCAGACTCAGCAATTATAAACCCAGATTGTCTCTAATACTTCTGGCACAACCATTGGTACATCTCCGTACAGCGAGTCCTTGAAGAGACGCAGAAAAGGCGCCGCGTCGGCTCTTAACCGGCCATCCGTGGATAGCTATGTTCAGCATTTGGATGTTGAAACAAAGTCATTCGTCGAAGAGCTGCTCAAATACGGAAATGGCGGAAGTACTCCTGTCGACCCTATGGCTATGATCCAACGGCTCAGTTTAAGCTTGGCCTTGACGCTCAACTGGGGTGTGCGAGTAGCATCACAGGAGGAGGATCTCTTTGACGAGATCACCCACGTCGAGGAAGAGATCAGCAAATTCAGAAGCACCACCGGCAATTTGCAGGATTACATACCTCTTCTGCGGTTGAACCCTTTCAATACGAATTCCAAGAAGGCCAAGGAAATGCGAGACCGCCGGGACAAGTACCTTACTGGTCTTAACCGACAATTGGACGATCGAATGGAGAAGGGAACCCACAAACCCTGCATCCAGGCCAATGTCATCTTGGACAAAGAAGCGAAACTGAACTCTGAAGAGCTCACCTCCATAAGCTTGACCATGCTTTCCGGTGGCCTTGACACGGTTACCACTCTCGTCGCCTGGAGTATCTGTCTACTTTCTCACCGTCCCGACATTCAGGAGAAAGCCATTAAGGAAATTCAGAAGTTACATAGAAATGGACAGCCCATTTGTGACGCTGAAGATGATCAGAAGTGCGCATATGTTGCAGCCCTTGTCAGAGAATGCCTGAGGTAAATTGTCGCTTTTTGTACACCAAATCCCAAGCTAACGGGATTCCAAAGATACTACACGGTCCTTCGTCTTGCGCTTCCCCGAACCTCCATCAGGGAGATTACATATGAGGGTGTTGTAATTCCAAAGGGTACCGTCTTTTTCCTAAATTCGTGGGCGTGTAATATGGGTTAGTTATGCTCCACTTTTCAGGGTCTGAATTCTGGACATGAATGAGGAGATGCTAATACAATTTATAGATCCCGAAGTCTGGAGCGACCCCGAGGAATTCAGGCCGGAAAGATGGTTTGAGCAGCCTGATGCACCAATGTTCACTTATGGGATGGGATATCGCATGTGCGCAGGCTCGCTGCTCGCCAACCGTGAACTGTACTTGGTTTTCATGCGAACGCTCGGAAGCTTCCGGATTCAACCATATGACGACGCTGAATGGCACCCTGTCTATGGCAACTCGGATCCTACTAGCTTGGTTGCGATTCCTAAGAAGTACAAGGTCAAATTTGTTCCGAGGGACGAGGAAGCGCTTCGGATAGGCCTGGCACGTACGTAAAGATGTTGAAACGTTAGAGATTATCTTAGGCGAAGCATGCCAAAGACAATATACTATATAAATATATGTCATGAGAAATGTAATGCTGAATGACTAGGCCTATGGGCCTGGACCAAATTACTGTGTTTATATAACTGGTCAGTTCCAAAATTAACCCCGGATGATTTGCATTGTGGTGGGGTGTAACTCATTGCACCTCCTTACAGTTAAGGAGAGACGCCTCGGATTGGAATATATTAGAGTATAGTAGAGTATACTTGCTCGATCTTTCTGGCCGCCATAACCATTTGCACTCGCGAATAACGTTTCCCGGAAAGTATTCCAGGTTAAACAACCGCTTGAGATGTGTGCTATCTTTTACAAAACGTATCATCAGGTTAGTGTCTACTTGACCAGAGAGAGATCATGATACCCTTGTTGAGGATGTGGATTGCGGGCCCTGTTATCGAGTGTTCCAGAGTAGCAGAGATATGTTGACCACTCTAAGAGATCCGTTATGATATGCGTTATGATATTCATTTCCTATATACCAAGCCTCGGAGTAACGGCCTTGGAGTGGACTTTATGGTGGCAATGTTGGTACACTGAACACAACTACATTCTTGCACGGAACACTCGTTGTCGCCATCAATGATCCGTTTTCTATCAGTGGTCGCTAGAACTTTGAATTGACGCCCAAACAGAGTCTAGGGGAGATGGAGGAAATACCGAGTATCCATGGGTAAGGGAAAGTATGAGCCTTGAATCTAGAGTGGCTTCGTCTGTAGTTTTACAAGACCGGGCAGAAAGAGATTGTGCCGATGCCCTAGTTATGTTTCCCAAATGAAAAAGAGTGGAATCAACGCTTATTTTATGTTTTATATATTTTAAATTTACTTAAATTCCTCTTTTTCTTTCTTTTTTTT